TAATCCCATGCTAAGATTGAGTTTGTATCGGTAAAATTCTATTACACATCATGATGTGACGATATTTAACCAGATTAGATCACAATTAAATCTTAATGATGGTTTAGTAGATCGAGTAGATAGTTACTTGATATCATTAATTTGTATTTGTAACTATCAAAAATTGTGAATGTCTACAGCGGAGATTCCTTGTCTAGCATAATGTTTTGGTATGTCGGCTTATGTCTGCATACAAGCAGTTTCCTCACACCTGCTTTGGTGATAAACAATATTCAACATTTACTCTTTCATCGACATTTATTGTTTAATCGTCCTATCATCGGTTATAGCCATGATAGAGTAATTAATTTTGATTATTTAAACTATCCAGTGATACAATAACTACTTTAATTTTCAACTATTCCAGCGATTCCCGACATGTTTTATGTCTAGTATCTACTATACACCAACATTTTTTTTCGAAATCAATCTTATTGGATAGGAATAAACATACCACAAAACTCTTGTTCGCTATTTCCATGTTATATATTAACTCGATTATTGAAATTGAATATAATTCTATTTTTGGTATTAAATTCAACCTTTGATAATATTTAGCCCTCTTTAATAGATTGAAATGCTAAAAAGAAATTGATAAAGGCGTAAATTTTGAACATCTATCTCAGTCTGTTATTCATTTTAATCTAGTAAATGATTAATTAGAATAGGATAAAGAAGAGTAAGTAGATGTGAAATATGGTAAAAATTAATTGTATCAGTGATTCTATCTACGGGTATTTAATTATACTTATAATCAGATAGCTAGAGGAACTATTAGCATAGCCTTCCAATTTGTTATCATGATAGCAACTCCTCATTGAACTATACCACCATGCATTGACTAAGTTTATTGATAGAATTAAATTCTATCCATGCTCAACTGCATACAAGCTGATAGAGAGTAAATAGAATAACTAGTAAGAGTTAATAGCTAACTAATAATGTGTAGAGTGTAGACAATACCATTCATTGATCACAAAGCATTCCTTCTTATGGCAAACATCACCTGACCCAACAGCTGGCTATAACGCCGACAATAGGGTTAAATTTGTAACTATGACCCCGAAGAAAGACTTTTTTGGCGGACTACGTTGATATATTTTATTACAAGTTGAAAGTGAAAAGGGTATTTGTGGTGTTGCTTTTACTCTATCCGATTGATTTCATTATTCTACTAAATTGATAATATTATCAGCATCCTAACATTTTAATTTGTTATATAACGGAACGTAGAATAAGATTTAATCATAGAAGTGTTCAGTAAGCATAATAATAATCAATGATAGGCGATATTCAACGCGATACTTTATCATCCTTTCCTTATCACGTTTTGTTTACATATTAGCCACAATGGCTATCATTATAAAGCGATGATATTGTTATTGTAATAAAGAGCTATAATGGAAGATAAAATATATAGAATTAGGGTTATTATCAAGTATGCCAAGACGTATCTAGATGAATAACCAGTTTTTCTGATTCAGAGCCATGTCATCTTGACCTAATTAATAATTGCTAAATTTATATTTGAGCATCGGATCAAGAAGCTAAAATGTAATTCTAGAACAAGAAAAAGTAATAAAATTATTTTGATTAATCTGAATTGTATTTTATGCCTTTTTTATAAGTCATACCAATACATTGGGTGGCTATTTAAGAAATGGTACGACAGATACAACTTAAAAGGGGGATTATAGTAGAGGTCTATATTACTGTTGATTGTAGTTGCCATAAAAGAACTTAAGATAGTGGAAGATAGTATGATAGATTGGAAATATTATACAGTTTAATTCGTAAAAATTATGATTTAACAGCTATATTTTACATCGAGTTTTGATTGATTTTATTGTTTGATGCCTGGAGATTAAAGAACAAGGAATCCGAATCATAATGTAACTGTAATATTATCGACATTATAAAACATGCATTTACATCAGTATCGACAACTCGTAAGATCTTTTCAACGTCTTTTACGGATGCTATTGTCCTTGTATTAAACTATTAGTCAATGTCTGCTTGGTTAGATAATAATTATAGAAGAATATATATATATATATATATATGGTTATATAATGGAAAATTATAATTTTTCACTGTTTTTGGTATCATCGGCATGAGTTTATCTTCATTAATATAATACTTTTTTCCATCTTATTCTTGCTATGTGTTGGGCAAGGATATTGATACGATCGTACGTGCGCATTGTACAATAGTGAGGATATAACATGATAATTGTTCTTGATACTAGCTTTTGATTAAAACTTTTTTCATGCATACTTCAGTAAACGTCAATGCATTATAGACCGTAGTGGGTGTTGATTGAATAAGTATAAGGAGAATAATTCATAGTTTGTAACGAAAAAATATCGCTTATAAGTCGCGATTAATACGGCACTATACGAGCGACGATTGTGTTAAAAGCTGTATTGCTGAATATTTTGACTATATTATAAATTTCATTGCATACCAATTTACTGCATATCATTAGTATTATCTGTCAATCATGGCATCTATTCCACTGGTTTATCTTATATTTAATCTGAAACATTCAGGAAAAAACAGATTTGATGAATAGTTATGAATAATTAAATCATACTTAGAACAGTCGACTTTTTTCTCGGCTAGTATCTCATTTTAGCTGCTATGATTTCTTAATGGAAAAGAGCGTTTATTAACTAGTCTATTTTAGTTAAAACAGGTTAATCGGCACAGTTTGTTTCCATGCTACATATAAATAGAATGTTAAGAATGTAGGCATTTTAACATTCAGTATCATACAGTAAGATAATTAACTCGGGAAAAAATGGAATACAAAACAGGCTTTAATCGCTCAACCAGCTCAGATTTATCACTTGACAAGGATAACAATGTCGTCGTTAGTGAAATTATAGGTATATGCATTATTGTACTGCTTGTATACTGTAGTCTTGCTCGGATCTAGAGTATTTCATGAATGTTTAAATAGAAATATAGCAACATCAATCGTCACTGTCTGTAGTTTATACTGTATATTTAGAATATTTCATAACAGTAGAGTTTAAGCTATGATTGATTCTGTAAGTTACAATTTAAGATTTCAATTATAACCATCACTAGACGTAATGATTATATACTCGTATAAGGACTACCTCATTCACTAAGGTTATCTTATGATTTGGTTCTACAAGTACTATTTAATAATTTCATTATTAGCCATTACTGGTTATAATAACAATAGACTCGAATATTTACATTGACTAAATCTTTCACTAAACTTATGCCATGATTTGGTTCCTCAAGTAGCGATCAAAATTAACCATCCTTGTTTATAATAATAGTAGATTCGTAGATGCACGTAGACTCTTTCATTTACTAAACTTATTCCATGATTTAGCTCTGCATGTAGCCGTTAAGATTTTAATATGAACCATCACTGGCTATCATAATGGCACTCGTATATCAAGACTGTCCAGTTTACTAAACTTTTTCCATGATTTGGTTGTGCCAGTAGTACTTAAGATTTCAGTATTAACCACCACTGGTAATCAAGATAGATAGTTAACTCGCATATTGACTATCACATTCACTCAATTTATTTACTTCTGCAAATAGCATTTAAGATTTCGATTTAACCATCAGGTGGTTATGCTAAGAGTAGACACCTATCGCATTGCAGCGAACTTACGCCGTAATTCGTTCTGCTAGTAGCAACCTAAATGTTCAAATGCATCCATGATTATGCTAGGTTGATGGCAGTCGTATTTACTTTTCGAGAAAGAACAGCAACTATTTTTATATTTTCACTTCTAATGCCTTTAGTCATGTAGAATGAATTAATAATAATAGTCTACCCGAACGTGTATAAATATCTTTTGCAACTGTTTTCTACTGTTTTACTATCCAAATAGGCTGCTATGGTGCTCTGCTATACAGTATCCAATAGCTAGAGCTTGAAATTGGCTTCGATTAAGGCATGCTTGCAGAGCGAATTTCCAAGTAAGAAATTGGCCTTGACAAAATTCTACTTGCAATGATATAGTTTTGACATTTTGATATTTCTTGCCTGATTTACTAACTTCAAATATAAAACATTTTGCCAAATCAGTGAACTTACTCGTACCTAAAAAATGTTAGCATAGCGTCTATAGTGAAATAGGCTTATTTCTCAAACAGTACTGTGCAGTGTGGTCTATTGCTAGTATGAGATTATAGTTGACAAGTTACACCATAGCTTGAATATGTTCTTCCTTTAGCCATGGATAAAAATCAAATTTATACCATTGAATTCGTGTATAAATATGACGCCATTTCGCTCTATACATATATAAATGAATGATTGAATTTGCAGGATTTACATGCTCGAAAAAAGAGTGCAGCCCTTCGAGTTCATAATGGCTTAGCGGCATCATAACCATCGTCCATTTGAGTCCCCAGCAGTTATACGCAAGCTCCGTAGCGCGGCGGTTTATTCGAAATTTGAATAATTCTAGCATAGTTTTGATTTACAAGGAGTAAATAAATGCTGTAAAAATTGCCAGTTAGCTCATGATACAGTCCAAGAGTGGTGCCATTACCTGTCTTTGAGACTTCCCTACCAATCTTATGCTAGAACAAGGATAGATTGGTATTCTGTCAAGTATTTTTTTTGCAGTTATTGTCCGTATAAAATTGGTGGTAGAGTGTTTACCCGTTGATGCTGTCGATTGGCAGTCTTTTGAGCTAGGATGAGAGAAATATCGACTTGTGATTACTTGAAAGTAAAGGTTTAAACTAGTAAAAGAGTATATCGTTGTATAAATACGAAGGGCTGAATGGTAGCCTAAAGTCTAGTAAACACACTCTAGGCTAATCGTTGATGTACAGGCATTCAACTGTGTTTAAAAAATCAAGTGGATTAGAAGACATCTTCAGTTCTTCTGGTGACATCATCAAGAGCGAAATTCTTAGCAACCTGCCAAATCAGTGTATAAACTATAGATCCAATGGCAAGCATCATAAGCACAGACGAGAAGGAGCGTATTGCACAAAAGTTTTATAATCTCATTGCCCAAATAGGCTTGCAACATTGCCATGATATCAATGAGGCTATTGCTCAGGTAGGTAACCTTTAGTCTAATAAGATATGGTAGAAAATGATCTTTCCATAATGTTGTTTATCTTTCATTGCGACTGTAAAATACTGCTTTCTCGAGAACGTGTCAGTGTATGAGTATATTTGCTTGAAGGATGACGAAGCCAAGTTTTTCTAGATTATAGACTAAAATCAGTTGCTGTAATGATTGTAGTATCGTATAACAAGAGGAGTTGATAGAAATGTTTGAATTGCAAATGTAAAAATGACTATACACTTAGCGATGCGTGGTTGGTTACGATGCAATGATACTTTAGCATAGACCTGTCGCTCTCTTAACACATGCTATGACTTACATTGGTTGTAATAGCATTATACATTTACAAGTAAAGCAATATTGATGGCCTAATGCTTCAATTAGAAAATACATTATCCTATGATGACATTTTTGTTCCTGTACTTGTCGCCATTTTAATGCACGCCAAATAATGATACTTGTACGCAGCCAACGCAAGCAAGCATTGTTGATGTTATTGCAAGGCACAATGTTATACTGTGTCACGATATTTTAATCTAGACTTGTTGCTATCTTGACGTAAAGATGCATAATAATCCGATAGGGTTTATTTGTAGTGACTCAAAGCCTCTTGTAGCATTGTGTATTGAAAGCACCCTATCGTGCAGAAGTTACCATGGACGATAAAATGCTTGAAATGTAAAATACTGTACAGTATTAAATTGACTGTTTAACCATAGTTTAACATAGACTTGTCTCTATCTTGACATATCTATGTATAATAATGTAATAGGCATTACTTGTAGTGACCCAAGACTTCTTATAGCATTGTGCATTGAAAGCACTGCATCATACCGAAGCTATATTTACGATGAAATGCTTGAATTACAAAATACAGTATTATTAAAGGATGATATTTTAACATGGACTCATTGCTATCTAACGTGAACAGGCATAATAATATGGTAGGGATTTACTAGTAATTTAAAACCTCTGTAGTGATATTATTGTTAAACACTACACCATGCCTAAGCTATGTTGACTATAAAGTACCTGAATTGCAAAATACAGTATCAAATGATGATATTAAAGAAGGACTCATCCCTATCTTAACTTAAGCATACTTAAAAATATGATAGGGATTACTAGTAATTTAAAATCTCTTTCTAGTAGCATTATTATAAAAGCGCTACATCATATTTAAGCCATGTTGACCATAAAATACCTGAATTGCAAATGATATTATTGGAACGATGGTATTTTAACTTGGACTCATCGCTATCTTAACGTGAACATGTATAGAAATGCGATAGGGGTTACTAGTAATTTAAAGCCTCTCTCGTAACATTATTATAAAAGTATTGCATCACTACATCATACCTAAGCCATGCTTACCATAAATACCTGGATTGCAAAATACTATATTAAATGATAATATCTTAACATGGATTCATCGCTATCTTAATGTGCATACATGTGCTATTTTAAAACATGTAAAATAATACGATAGGATTACTTGTAATGGGGGGATATATTTTAGTAGTGATACTGATTAAGTAATGTTGATAAAATGCCTAATTTGTAAAGTATTGCATAATAATATTTGAATATAAGGTGTCATTATCTAAGCACATAGAAAGCAATGTGATAGGATGGATTATAATAACTGCAGTTGTATCGTACATTAGACGAAAGCAGTGTTGATGACCAATTGCCAAAATTGCATAACACATTATTGAAATGTCAACTCTGACTATAATAATGATATTTTGTTGCATGCACTCACAGCTATCTTTAAATATGCAAAATAATGTGATAGAATTTCGTAATTGTAATGACTGTAATATTATAATGCATAGAAGTAGAGTTGATAAAATATATCATATATCGGTGCTGTGGAGTTTACTTTTAAGCCATGCAGCTAATTGGCAACTTCTCTTAATCTCCTAGTCGTGATCACTTAAACTATTTTAACGTTCGTTATCTTCTCATCCTATACGTGTGTTAGATTGACTAGATATTATGATAGTACATATTCTTAGTAAAACGTGAAAGGTATATTGAATAATAACAAATGTATACTGTGAATTATTTACATCACTAGCCATCTATAAAATTTCTCTTATACATGGCAAGACTTCTATAAAGTTTATCTGTACGTACAATCATTATAATACAGTAATCCTATACTGAAATCGATAGGTTGAAAAGAAAATTACTCACCATAACAAAGATATAATGAAAGAGAACACGTCGGTAAAGGAAAGCTTAGTGGAATCTGCCGCAAATTCTACTTTCTTTGACGCTACTGCCGTCGATCAATCTGGATTAAACAGCGAGGATGCTTTAAGAGGCAATAAGTTAACCATATCAAACAATTCAAATAACTGTAGCTACGATTACGAAAAATCTAATCCTGTTGTAGAAGACGAAAATACTAGAAAGTTAGAAAATGGTAGTAAGAGTATAGAAGAATGTATTTGATCGATACGATAATCATGAATAATCACAATTTCAATTTGTCATTTTCGTCACTGTAAGATTATACTATTTTTATTAGATGATATTAGAAGCCTAGGTAATACCAGCAACCAAGAGAGTTCGCTACGTAGCATACCTTTTGAGAATAATAAAGAAAAGTAAGTTAGTTAATTCGTAGCTTACTAAATCGGAATCTATACTTAACCGTTGTTGAAGTAGGTACTGTACTTGTCAGAACTAATATACTTTACTTTACTATCAGTATTTATCTTCCAGTTACCCTCGCGCTAAGCTTTATCGTTGCAGTATTTTAATTTGTCATGATATTTGTAAGCCGATTCTGATTTGCACTAATTATAATTATTATTAAGTTGAGATCTGCCTGAAAAATTCGGAATAAGCTTTTGCATAGTAGATTAGTGAGAAGTATAACAAAGCTGTCTTCAGTGTCCGCTTAATATGTATTATATTTCTAATCGAGATATTATTAGTCAATAATTTCACAAATTGCCCTTTTGCTGAAACATGCATCCACTATTTGTTGAACCACGATAAAATTATGAATACAGACTCAATTCATTCTGTGATATCTGAATACCAATTCGCATCTTCTGAGTATGTGCAAGGTCGATATAAGCTGAATAATATAGTATACTGCTTTAATAATAAGCTATTGCAATTAAAATTAATCTAAGCGGAATTGGTGTATAAAAAACGTAATATCAGCATTTGCACCTTGACACTATTGCTGGTTAATTAATTAACGTCTTTGATCATATTGCATGGCGCAGCTCATTTAACGAACGACTAAATATCCATACTAAAGATTATCAATATCCTGAAGAAGCCGATGATGAACAAGACTTAGATGATTGTATGTATAATATTTTAATGGTATGAAATCGAATACGAGAATATACTTTATGCCAAATCTTGACGTTACCATCTTCAAATACTATCATGACAATGTTATGATCATAGCTATGGAATCAACATCCAACTACGCTTTAACTAGTGCTATCATGAAGAGAAAACAGCTTCAATTTAGGTATTTTCCGCTATTACTATTTACCGTAATGGCAAAACTATAAAAGTGAATGAACTTATATTTTTAAATCTTAGCGTTCTTCGCAACATCTGAAATTTAATGGATTATATTCTATATTGACACTTAGAGCTTCGATTTCTCTGTATAGGCTAGACTACGAATCAAGCATTAATTTAAGTGATGGCTACAGTTCAATCTGCTATAATCAAGGCGACAATTCGCATAACTTGCTAAATTCTAACTCAAAAGCTAGCAACTCACGTAAGAATTTCTTATGGTTATACTAATATGTGCTATTACTCTATGCTAATATTTATAAACTTTCTACTAGGTGCCTCAGTATATGAGATTTCTAGGTATTAAGGACTTAATTAGATATAACATTGATTGTTTTATACAATACTGTCGTTGATAGAAATAATAATAACAGTTTATACTAGAAATGATTCAAATTCGTGGGTAATATTATAGCTACTGCAAAATTTATGGGTTAATTTTATATTTCGAATAGCACTGAAAGTAATAAAACTGCTTATGATCAAGACAAAGCTTCTATGCTAAAAGATGAAAGTAGTAATTCTGGTGATGGTAAGATAACTCATGTTAATGAACATCAAACTATATTGACTAAGGCTTAGATAGGCAGTTTTATTTCTGTGTTTTAAATAACCCCTAAAAGTGTATTTCAATTTGCAGATGTAAGCAGGAATAGGAATCATACAACGGATAAATCCAATTTGAATAGGTACAGTCTAGCCTGCGTTATTGTTAAATGTACTCCAAATTGTTTTGCAAGTTCTTAGCAATGTATTAATGAACTAATCATTAAAAATTTACAACCTTTTTATTTGTAGTGGAGAAGATAGATCTTTTATTGATGAATCAAGGCCTTCTGGTATGAATAAAAAAATTTTTTTCTCTAATACTTTATTTATCATCTGAAAGAAATGCGTGTACTAACGTGTTTTCATTATTAGAAAATCTTAGTGATCAATCTTCCAGGTATGATAAACTTTCATACTTCTCTAAATACTTACCTTGTAGATTATTATAATATTTGATTCATTTGAAAATATAACTCTGTAATGCTGCAGCTATAATTCGTACTTACGAGTGATTAATGGTCAAACTCTAATATATTTACAAGGGTTGACGAAGTAAATGAAATCCATTGCGAGCGTTTTAGCAGACGCGACTGTAACAGTAGTGACGAAGATGACCAATTTGAATTATGTAATGCATGAGACTCGAAGCAAATCATTTTAACTAAGCTTAATTAAGTATTTATAGCTGTCCTGAAATAACATTATATGTATCTATACCTAATAAAATATTTTAATTCTAGTTTTACGTAAGCACAGGAACCCGACGATGGGAAAATCGCTAAGCGATAAAAGTTCAGATAGGTTAAGATAAATTAAAATACCTAGCGAGTATTGACGTGAAATATAAAATGGATCATAGCTATTGCTATATATTATATCGAAATAATCAATAAGGGCTATTCACTAACTTTTGAAATACTTGGCGGAATCAGACCTATTTAGTAGCCTCTTTCGCTAGGGAATTACGATAAGCTAATTCTGAACTTTTTCATTCGTAGCCTAAATGATTTTATTGTTAGCGATAACACTGACGGATCACTTGACAGCGATGAAAGACAATCATTTGTGCAATCTTGTAATGACGACTTACGAAAGGAAAGTAATTTTGTGGTAGATGATTGCAACAGCAAGAATGATTCTAGCACTGTATCAGATGCCAAGCAGGTTGATGATCACTTATCATCAACACCAGTGGTGCGTTTCACTCCTTCAAATAAACCTTGGAATTCTACTTCTAAAAAAGCAGGTAAGTCCTACTTATCTTCACTATTAATCAGTGAACGATCTGTTCCTAAACGGTAACGCTCGTATATCATCGTCTTACTAGGTCAACTTGTAGTAGAGCGAAAAAATTTGAATTCGAACCAAGAACAAGATTTGTACAACTTTGATCCCCTTAGTGCAGTTTTAAGTAGTATCGATACACCAGCAAAAAGAAACACCCCATGGTCTGTCCGAAAATTGAAAAGTAATCGAGATATACTTGTACAAGGGCTATTTGAAGAATATAATCGACGCGTCTTCGATAGCAAGGTATTAACCTAGAAATTTTAAAATTTCTACGCTGTCGTACTCGTAATGAAAGTGCTGCATTTTCGGAATACGCGTAGACTCGCGTAGTTGTTCATCGGCTAGCTAGTTCTCACATTCAGGGATCACAATAACCTTTAGAAATTTTACCGTCACGTAAAATTTTTTGTTTCTATTCTATTCTGCAGCTACCTAGTGATTTTCAAATTACGTGGAATAAAAAAATGACAAAAACTGCCGGATTTTGTATTTATACGCGTCGAGAAAATGCAAGAATCGCAAGGATAGAGTTATCGGAGAAAGTTTGCGATTCCACTGGTAACGGTTTTCTAATTTTATAATCTTGTATAATGGTAATTTCACATTTGATTCTTTGCTATTATAGAGCGAATTCGTGATACTCTAATTCATGAATTATGCCATGCTGCGACTTGGGTAGTAAACGGTTGCAAAGACGGGCATGGAAAAATCTGGAAGTATTGGTACGGCACAGTAGTAATTTGCTTGATTTCAAATTGAGTGATAGAGAGACGTTTAGCTGCTTTGTGTTTATTTTAATCATAGAGATATTTTATCTATTGCTGGTGTAGTCCATTTATAGACCTGTTATTTCGTGTACTCGTAGAAATGAATTAGCATAGTACACTTATTTGATAATTCAATTACTTCCAATAAACCTATTTAAATGCAGATTGTCAGTAATGAGTATATATATCTAAGCGTAGTTTCGTAACAATTACACAAATCTATTTATAATGTGGAGAATTTTTATAAATTTGTGTAGGGCCTATAAAGCAAATAAAATCTATCCTAATATTCCTTTAATCAGCCGCTGCCACAGCTACAACATCCATGCGAAATATACTTATAGATGTACAAATTTAGAATGTAGCTATAAGTAAGCCTAAGATGCAATTAGTGTATACGAATTTAAATTGCATAAGCATTTACAGTAGTATTTAGTTTATATCTTTTTAATGTATATAGAATCGATCGACATTCAAAGTCTATAAACGTAACCAGCCATGCCTGCCCATATTGCCTTAGGTAAGTTATAGCTGCAATGTCGCACAAATTGAAGGAATTCTGCTTCACAATATTTATATCTAAGGATTTGAATGAATTCATGTAATTATTCCTACTGTCTTGAAGCCATTTAGAAATGGTTCGAAACGTCGGTTCAAATAAGTCGAAATCTGGTAAACCGAATAATTTCGCATTGTTTGTGAAAGAAAACTTTGCAGCTGTGAGATCCAAACATCCCAATTCTAGTCATGGTGATATTATGAAAATGTTAAGCTCATTATACTCTCAAAGCAAGTAATGTTACAGCTGTAATAGATCGTTTCAAATGCCATTATAGCAAATGAATTTCGGAATAGCTTTGCAAATAATAAAAGCACCATCAATATGTAGCGCGTACAGTATGTAATTTTATTCATGAGTCTGTGATACATTTTTATTTAGACTATACAGAAAACTGCATATGCAATTTACATGTTTTCATATGATAAATAATGACTGTCATTGCTTGTTACTATAATTTTACGAAATTTACTTGCTAATCGTAATTAAAAATGGTAACTAAGGCTGATATAACAGCACTATCGTATTATAAACGTATTTTAATTTAGTAATTAAGACTTAAAATCAAACCGCAATTTGTAAAAGTATCATCGACAATCGTTATGATTTGATTTTTATATTTCAATTTGAATAACCGGGATTCTACAAGTTTATGCACTATTTGTAAAGGCACCTTTATCGACAGAGTAATAAAGACTCTTGAATTTTTAGATATTGATAACTATTGAAATATCTTAGCAAGCAAAAGTTAATTAGTGCAACTGTACAAAAAAAAATAATAGTTTCTTTAGTCATTAATCTTCAGCATTTTCTTCATCGTCTTCTTCTTGCTTAACTATTGGGACACCGTCTAGTTTTTTAAGCTTTGGTAAGCGCCTGCTAACTTGATCTCTCCAGTCTCCATCATTGGAGTGCTTTTCTTCTATTGGATTGTTAACAAGTAGTAGGTCTTCCAACTGCGCTACCTCAGCTAATTTTTGAAATTCGGCCCAATCTTTAACCCTATTATTGGACATGTATAAAACTTTCAACTTTTTAAGATGATCGACACCTTTCAACTTTTCAATGTTGTTATAAGAAATCCAGAGTTGCTCCAAAGTATCGCCTAATACTTCCTATATAATATAATATAAAATCAAAATTATGCCAATTGCTGAAGAAAATTTTAATCAGAGTAAAGTATCTAATGATAAACAGGTGAAGCTAGTCTGACGTGTTTGGTATACGTTTTTTAGAACATGATACATTTTTAGTAGTTTAGAAGTATCGATAGCACATTGTTCTGTATTAATGCGGTGTATTTTAAAATAAGTATTTGGGTATCTACAGTAATGATTTTTCCACTGCACGATCGCTCATCATTAAATGCATAAAAAGGTTATGCTACATTAATGTGTAACTGTAGACTGATTAAGTATACTATTCAACAACTTGATACTAATCATCTTACCACTCCATTCAAGCTCTTGATATTATTACGACCCAAAGATAGAACCTTTAAATTCTTTAATCCATTCAAATTAGCAATTTTTTCAATAGAATTAGAAGAGAGGGATAATTGTTCACAATTGACCAACATAGATAAGGAAGCATCCATTTTTTCTATCAAAGGTAACATCCCGCATATTTTGATCTTTTTTTCGTCCGCAGCTTTCTTACCAGTTCGCTCTTCCCATCTTGATAATGCATCTCGAACGTTAATTCCTTTCGACATGTTATAATATTAATTAACTACTATACGAAGGTGTCCTAGAATAAACAAGTTAAAAATGCAACTTGTCCGCTGAAAGATTGAACAGTAATATGGGCAGTAATGCTCAAATAAGCTTGATGCTAAACAGCACTTGGAAATCAGCAATATTGTGATGATAACGTACTGTATGTATTAAAATTGACTCCTGTAGTCTGCAAACTTGTATCAAACTTGATCTACTGCATTAAAATCGTATGTAAACCAGAATAATTGATCGTTTTATTGGTATCACGTTTCCATGGATACATCCTCGGTTGGCTTCTACGCTTGCGTTGACGATGGTATAGTACCGTACGGTCTTGACAAAAATGATGTCACCGGTGGGATTCAATTTGTACTGTAGGAGGTACTTTGAGCAAGATATAGTGACATTACTTATGCTAGCGATTCGTATTACAACCCAGTATTTAGTCACATTCATTAGCAATACGTGGAATACAGTATACAATGCGAAATGTGACACCATTCGCGCTCGCTAAAGGAATGTCACTAGCATATTCGTTCAGTGCTTCTTACAGTACATTGGGCGACATTATTTTTACTTCCGTACAATCAAGTACTTTCAGGGTACTGTATGATACTTGTTGTAGAAATAATAGAAATTGTATAACTTGGTATTTTTCAGTTAGAGTAAAGTGGTCGTTTTGCTATCCTATGTCGTAAACATGATGTATAATGTACTGTTATAGGGATATATCGTAAACATGGCTACTCGATTCATATAAATGACATATTCGGCTCATTCTTTCTAGGCTAAGCAGTTCATCTCGCTACTATGTACTGTAGCCTTGGAAGCTGAGCATTCTGCAAAGCTCAGCTAGAGGCTGCATCGCAGAGTAGCATGCGTGCTAACTCTCCATATTATGAAATTAAACTATATTGAAAGGCCGATTCTCTTAATTTGCAGTATATTATACCATTGCCAGGCTCTCTTTGAATGTCAGATTGCTAATATCCATGATCAATTTTCAAGATGAAGTTTTCTTATAAGGTAATTTGATTGTAGAGTATCTGAAATGTACACTTATATCAACGAAATACACGTTGCAGTAATGGAGGCAATGATTGGATTGGCAATTTTGCTGTACATCCATGATAGCATTGACTGCTGTCTAGCAAAAGTATTGCAATATCTAGTATTGGTGATAGCAATTAGTTTTCGATTATAAAAGAATAGGTAATGATAGAATTGAGCTGCAGCATACAATTAGAGTACAGGTTAGATCGATTGACAAGATTTAACCATCAACGTCCATGATGCGTGTACTGTACCTCTATCTACTAGGCTTGCAACTAATATCTTCTTCTTATTCATGGTTAGTTTTCCAACCTTTGCGGAACTGTTTATAAGCGTGGCAATATCCTTTTCACGCCTAACGAATGCCTGTTGAGTCCAGTTGGAAATAGGATTACCATTTTTGATCTTAAGAAGTAAGTCTGCATTGACATCGCCTGAATGGAGTGATCCTCGTTGTTACGTTTTTATTGTACAAGGAGGATTATACGTACGTTAGAACACATTCTATCAATGTTTTATTTCGTTTTGCAGTCATAAATCGCAGACTTTGCCATTCGAAAATGTCAAAAATATTTCAAGAATTGCTTTATCTCCAAATGGTTTACTAATAATAACGGTGGATCAAGGTAGTTATTACTTATCGAATAAGTCGATTCATTTGAGTCTGTGTTAATTCTTGGATGTTCAATTGTTGTTTATATTAATCTTGATAAATTGTAATCAGAGTAACTATGAATGACGATGATCGAGGTGTGTTCTTGTATACGGTAAATATCTTGAGCTCATGTTGTTTGTATAATTGTCAAAAATAGATGGAAAGGCCCTACTGGCTAATATGCAAACCAAGACTGTATTTCACAGATTCAACTTTAAATCTAAAGTCTATGATATCAAATTCAGTCCAGATGGGAAGTTAGTCTTCTTGTATACTGTAATTTCGATGTATCTGCTGCGTTGAAAGTACTTGTATTTAACCGCTTGATTGCATTAATAATTGCTAGATATATTGCTGTAACACATCAAAAACATGTAGAAGTTTGGTTAGCTCCAGCACACGATGAGAAAAAATTTCAGCCATTAATTCGCCATCGAACTTATACAGGACATTACGATAACACTCTGTGCATCGACTGGAGCTGGGATTCAAGGTTTCCAACTAATAAGAATTATAATTGATTTTTAATTTATTAGAGTAGAAGACCTAAATTATAATAATTATTAATATTATTTGTATGTACCATGGGGTTCTCTCGACAAGTTGATTTAATGAAGCTTGTGCATTTGAAAAATAATTCATTTTTAAACACTTAATGCCTTATATAGATTTTTCGTTATTGGATCGGAAGATATGACTTCGCGCGTATATTCAACTAATCCAATGGAAGATTTTGCACCAGTGACGCTACCGGGGCATAAAAGTGCGATAGTATTGAGCTGTTTCACTGAGAAAAGCCTAAATGTACGCTTTTTAATATTCATTTATAAATTTTAATTTTTAACTTATAATAAACCTTATGGGTAATAATTTTCTAATGATACCACCGTATTGTAGATCTATACTGTGAGCAAAGACGGTGCCTTATTCATTTGGCATTCAGTTATAATGGCTGCAAGTGATATTGCAGATGGTGCACCCCCTAATTCAGAAGATACAGACAGTAGGAAAAAGAAACCTAAAAGAGGCTTATATAAATGGACAAAAAATGCAAAGTTCGTTATTTATGCATTACCTTCGGAAGTATTTTGCTATATATACGCGTAAACGGAATACTTATACGTTTGATCTTAACAGTAATGAAATTACTATGTGTCATATCATAATCCAACATAGGCATTACTTCAATCAAGATCGTGCCGAAGTAACATGTGCTACTTTACATAAGAGAGACAATATGCTAATCGTTGGCTTTAATACCGGAGTATTTACTCTCTATGAAGTCCCTGACTTCAATCTTATTCACTCCTTGAGGTAACTCTTACGGTGCTATTATATTATCATTAAAAGTTCTAGTATTAATAAATTATACAGTAAAGTTATAAATTTTACATCCAATTGACAGCATATCTCAACAGAAAATTACTACTGTTGCTATTAATGAAACTGGAGAATGGTTGGGGTTTGGTTGTGCTGGAATGGGACAGCTATTAGTATGGGAATGGCAAAGTCAGACATATATTTTAAAGCAACAAGGCCATTACTATGATATGAATGTATTATCTTATTCTCCGGATGGACAGATAATTGCTACAGGAGGAGATGATGGCAAGGTAAATCATGGTTATGTATATTTATTTTTATTTGCATACCTTATAGACTTGCCATATGAAATATCTGCATATGATTTTCAGGTCAAATTATGGAATACATCTTCTGGATTCTGCTTTGTTACCTTTAGCGAACATAATTCAAGCATAACTGGACTTGCATTCAAGTCCAATGGTCAAGTAGTTGTTTCAGCTTCTTTAGATGGAACGGTACGAGCATTCGACTTGATACGGTAAGACAATACTTTTATTAACTGTTGGAAACTACATCACGGCAATATTTGTTTGATAGACTGAAAATTGACAACCTTTTTGATGGTACAGCTACCGAAACTTTAGAACGTTTGTTTCGCCATTTCCAACTCAATTTTCATGTCTTGGCTTAGATGGTGATGAAATTATAGCTGCTGGCTCGCATAATCATTTTGATATTTACGTATGGTCAATGCAGACTGGTAAACTATTGGAGGTATGATTTGCTCATTGCAACAGCTGTTTAGATGATTATTGTGACCACAAATATCAGCTTTTGCTTCTTATAAAAAGATAAATTTATTGAAGTAAAAAAAATTTCGCATTGCTTTGCCTTGAAATAGATTTTAAAAGGTCACGAAGGCCCAGTTTCGTCCTTAACATTTAGTAAAGATGTCACATTACTAGCCTCTTCTTCTTGGGATATGACCGTTCGATTATGGAAAATATACGAGAAAAATACTGCTGTGGAATGTTTACAGTTCAATTCGATCGGTAATAATAATAATGTTAATAGGGATAGCGTGTGATAATCTTTTCTAAATTCTATGTTTCAATAATTTATTATTTTAGCAACTTTTACAATCTTCAGCCCCAGTGGTAAAGAATTAGCAGTGGCGACATATAATGGCGAATTATCATTTTGGAATAGTATAGATGCAATGCAAACCCGATCAATCGATGCCAAAGCGGACTTAGGTGGAGGTAGAAGTTCACAGGATATTATAACAGCTAAGAAGTCAGCGGAAGGAAAGTTAGTTTGACAATTATTTGAGTAGTAATATAAAAGTTGAATACTATTTTAAAACAACGATTTAACGATGATTTATTATTTGAAAATATACGCATGTAGATGCTTTAATTGTCTTTGCTATTCTGCGGATGGTGAATATGTCCTAGCAGGTGGTAGATCGAAGCGTATTTGTATTTATAATATTAACCAACAGGTACGCATAAATTCTCCGATTTCTACACATTTTGTATATATAGTACAACGAAAAATTTCAAAATTTTGTTCATAACTGGCCATCTGTTAGGTTTTGTTGAAAGCTTTCGAAGTATCACGTAATCTATCTTTGGATGGTATTCAGGTTATTTGTCATTTGTATCAACACGTCTATGACAATGTTGTTGAAGATGTGAAAGAGGAATAAAATCTTACTTTGTATACTGTAGGAATTTTTGAATAGCCGTTTGATGACAGAGGCAGGACCATTAGATCAGCTAGATTTAAGTGATGATAGTGATAAGGAAGACATTACATTACCTGGTGTCACTAAAGGTTGTATTAATACTTGATAATGTTTCATCATGTAATCAGTAGTATGTAAGTACTATTTCGGTGCAATTTGATTTATATAGGTGATATGAGTTCCAGAAAAGTAAGACCTGAAATACGAGTGAAAAGTTTACAGTTTAGCCCATCTGGTATGACGCTACGACTATTTTTTAATAGCTAAATCTGCCTTTTATGCGTAATATGCTCATAATTTATATTTATATTTAGGCCATTCATTTGCTGCTGCAACAACCGAAGGTCTGATGATTTATTCACTGGATTCGTCATTAACCTTTGACCCGTATGATTTAAGTATCGATGTTACCCCTGAAACTATTCGACAGAATTTGCAAGATGGCAATTATCTTGCTTCGGTAATGTTAGCTTTCAGATTAAATGAAGTTGCTATCATTCGTGAAATTATTGAAAATATCAAGCCTGACAGCAGTAAGTACTGTTATAACGTCTGATAAGATCGTATGATTATGATGGAAAGTGTTACAAGCAAAAATACTGTATTATTTGCCTACTTAGTTGATTTGGTTTGCCAGTACTTACCATTGGTCTACGTAGAAAAAATTCTTCAATTTGTTGCGTTCGAGTTAGAAACATCACGTCACCTAGAATTCTATCTCATCTGGTCTAATCGATTGTTAATGCATCACGGTACTGCTCTGAAACAGAAATCGGGAGATATTATGCCAATTTTGATTTCACTACAAAAGAGTATTAAGGACAAGAAAAATGATCTATCAAAATTGTAAGATGTGATACCTCTACGTACATGAATTTACGTAAGCACCGTTCTGACATTTTTTAGGTAATTAAGCTGCTTATATTTTTTATATAGGTGCAATAGTAATAGATCCACGTTAGAATATATATTAACGTTAGGAGAGCTTAAACAACGGACATCATTGACTGAAGATGATGATAATGAGGAGCTAATGCTAATGGACGTGGATGAATGATATTTTTGTACACTATGACTTTGCAGCACACAATCGTATTGTATCTGAGATGATAATCGTTGCAAAGATGTCTTTGTCGCCTAGTGATGATTAATAATCTATTTCAGTGCAATCTATATCCATAAAATTGTGCTTAGCGATCAATGATAACCTACATCAATATCAAATTGGCTTTTGTACATATTGTAAGCCAATTTATATTCTTCATATTATCTTAGGCAGTTTTATATCGGATTGACATTCATTATAAATAAATAAAATACTCGTATTTAAGAATAACTTCCTAATATTGATTTTAAAGACTTCTAAGCAATGTAAGCAAACACTTTGACTTGATTGGTGACAAGGTTGTCCATCGACATATTGGTATCGTTAAAGATTGAGACACCACTCTCTTTAAGAACTTTCTAGATTTATTATTATATTCAACTAACTTTATTTGGCAAATCACAGTAAAATGAAGCTTGAAGCCCGATGAAACCGATACATGATAAAAGTACTAAGTTTCGCTGTTGCAATCTCATACATGAAATGATCCGTAGCGTTAGCAATTACAGTATATACGATGAAGCAATAGATTATGCTACTAAATTATGAAGGAAATTTTAACATTTTAACAATTGCTTGGTTACAACATTGTTCAATAGATAAAATTAGAGACGATAATAGAAATAATATTATTTTCATAACTTGCTAGATAGAGCGGCAACTCCCGGTAGATTTTTTCCTAACATCAAGTAATTGGAATAATACCAATGTGTTAGAAGAAATTTAGCTGGCAGTAAAGTATTTATACATTGGGGGAAAATAACTATCATACCTTCTAACAGTTCTAAACTTGCACCACCACCGGTGCTAACATGGCTAACTTTGTCTTCAGTACGGAATTTAGCAGCGCATGTAGCTGTATCTCCACCACCGATGATAGTTATTGCACCATTCTTAGTAGCTTCAACGACGGCCTCCATGACCCCTTTCGTTCCGCAAGAAAATTTTTCGAACTCGAATACACCAGGAGGTCTAAAAATGATGTAACAAAAAACTTAATTATCATAACTACTCGCGGATTACGAAAAAGTATTAATCAACTACTATCTTTTAGAAAGATCTATGTAGATTATACTACACATAAAATGATCTCAATTGCTCAAGCTTTTACAAACCCATTCCAAACTATAGTCTTTGCACGACTAATGGCTTCTCGAAATTTAGCAATGCTCTGGGGACCACAATCTAAACCCTTCAAAGCACAAAAGTAATAATAAAGATGATTAGATTCCTACTGCATTGGTCAAATTGATGGAAGAAAAATAATTTACCTGCCATCCATCCGGTATACCGGACTCTACCGTTGCTGAGCTGGTCTGAGACAAGCAATAAATGAGAATAATGAGATTATCAATAGTAAATACACGTAGCGAAAGCTGTAAAAAGGAACTAATTAATCAATTAATCTATATCTATCTAATATCTGGGTAAATGTACTGCTGCATCTGGGGAGAAAGCATCTGCCGTGACGAAATCCACAGGAAAATGTAATTTAACTCCTTTGCTTTTGGCTTTTTCCACTAATTTTTCAACTATTTCTGATCCTTCTGCATCAAATAGTGAATTTCCGATCTGTTGTACATTAAGACAACATCAATGTTAGTAAGGTTAGCATATACACCTGCTAGCATCCAATACAGCCATGCTTAATCTATTCATTGTAGTGTACCTGCATGTTATCTAATACTTTGGAGAAAGTGAAGGACATTCCGCCCCCAATAATCATCTCATTCACTTTATCCATTAAATTTTCGATTAATTGAATCTTATCTTTCACCTTGGCTCTAAATAAATTTTTCAAGTAGAATTTGTATAATAATCGTAAATATGTTTTCCAGTTTCGATGAATTATCCATTGATTACATAGACAGTAACGAAATGATACTATTTTGCATACCCGCCAAGTATAGCTAGAAATGGTTGCTTAGGCGATTCCAACGCTTTAGCAAAGTAGTTTAATTCTTTGGCCATTAAGAAGCCAGCAGCTCTTTGTTCTAATGCAACACCGACCATGGAGCTACAGCATAAATAGCGAATTATACGTAAGCAAATTTCTCAGTTATGATATTGTTGCAAATGATGGAATCATGAAACAAATGTTATCATAATTATCAACGGCAAATATAGCTGAATTTGTATCTACTCCCTTATTAAAGTCACGTAGTCGAATGTAGTATTTTACGAACTTATATTACGGCATTGACAGTGAAAGATTTCATGGATTCAAATTTTACAGAATAATGAATATTATTGAAGTACCTATGAGCTCGATGAGCAGTACCAAAGGCGTCGTTAATATAGATATCGCCTAATTTAGATAATGATTCTCTGAAGACAGCAACCTGATCTTTGCTGGCTGTAATCTAGATTTTCAAACGAGCGTATATATTGTCCTCTTAAAACTGATGTATGAAAATTTTCTCCAGATACCGCCACACGGTCAAATAGTACAATTTACCTTCTTGCCATTGCTATCGACACCTTTACCTTCTTCTTCGACGTGAAAGCGTAGATTTTCTAGTAGAATGATACTACCTACAACATTGATATGCTATCGTAAGAACTTATCTTACATAGATGTGATAAGTGTTACGTATGTCTATTACTAATAAGATTATTTCAATTTAACCTTGACGAGGGTTGCTGCACGCCTCTTCAACAGACTGACCCACACAGTCATCTAAGAAAATGACACTCCTATAATGCAAGTAGACCAAAGTGGCATTGTTAATTGAGTAACCTTAAATAGTCTATTATGTCCTCCCGTAGGAGAAGTAAGAAGCAATTTTATAGTATGAAAACAAAGGATGGGTATTGAGTAAGTTGCTATCAAAATTATACTGCACTTGTTTCAATTTCGACATACCTCTCAAGAAGGCGCTCTAGTTCACCTGCTACTGGAGCAAGGGACATTTTTGGATTACGATTACCATTTGGGCGACCTAAGTGACTCATTAAAACTACCGATTTGGCTCCATTATCTAAGACATGCTTGATGGTTGATAAGGCAGCAACAATCCTATGATAAAGTAAAACTCCGTAATTAATTTTGAGTCAATTCTTCAGGAGGTGCATTGTCAATTTGGAATGGCACTTTAAGAGGTCAGAGATGCTTTGATCGTGCAATTGTGAGATAAAATATAACAATCGTAAGGCTAGAAGTTCTTTAAGCTCGGTAACAGAATGACTTTTACAGTAGTTACATTTACATTATCCTTGATTCAAACTACGAGTGGTATCACCGTGCACATCATAACTGTTGGACTATTGCAACTTGATGCAAGAACTATCTCAATAAAATCCTTTCCATTGCTGGCCATGGCTGAAATAAGGAATTTCTAAATTTATGGCTATTAGCTGAGCAGCATCAATTTACCGTCGTAATATTGTAAACGAGCCTTAATTGAAATTATCCATGACAAGGAAGAGCTTTTCATCATAATTCTGAGTTGTTTAAAAATGACTACGTGACTTTAACTCAGCTTTTATGTCGGTTATGATGATTGATGATCGAAATTATCCATGACAAGGAAGAGCTTTTCATCATGATTTTAAGTTGTTTAAAAATGACTACATGACTTTAACTAAGCTTTGATGTCGGTTATGATGATCGTCAATTTTTTACTATGGAATCAGTTATCAGCCAAAGATAGGCAATTTATCTTAACCGATTGAAAATGATCGAGCAAAGCTTACCTTTGATTGTTGGTAATGTTCAGTTCTTTATCCAAAGGAACATTGAAATCCACCCTAACAGAAATTTGTCATCAAAAATAAGTTGAATACCCCATGGAAGATGACATAACCTATTTGTACTATTGCTATTATAGCATTTCCATTGATGGGGACATTACTGTAAACTGATGTTGTTGTCGCTACTACAACATTTTCATCAGGTGTCTTGAAACGTATTGATGTAAAGTCTTTTACTCATATGAGGATTGTACAGTGGATGAGTTTTACTGTAGCATTTTAGCTTTCATTTCAGGTCATTGCCATGGCATCTAGTTGTATTTCCTACTGCAACTTGATAACAACACTACTAGAGTTTCAACAAGTTTGTCGAATGTATTTTATCGGCTATCTCGAGGTTGTACCGTCTAGGCTTGAGTAGCTTGTATATGCGTATCAAGCCATTTACCTCTGGGTAGATACTATCAAGATTCGCAAGGCTTTCGGAGAAATACCCATTGAGGCAAGTCATTCTACAGTAAAATAATGGACTTTTTGGGGGGCTATCGTTACGTTCTATGCTATCAACTTGATTGAGTTCAGCTTGACTTAAGGTAGGAGGAATGATAAGAGCCAAGAGGTTCAAATAGGATTCATAATATTCAAGACTTGTAAGCCTATCCTGAAATCAACATTGAGACAAGTACTACTAGTAACCATGGAGAATTGCAACTTTATACGCATCTTCTACTTTCGACAGTAACATGACGTCGCTTTTTCACTGTACAGTACTGCATAGAAGCGACGTCGCTTGCTAGAAACTTAACTCAATTCAGCTAGACTTAAGGTAGGAGGAATGATGAGAGCAAAAAGGTTGAAATAATATTTTTATAATATTCAAGACTCGCAAACCTATCCTGAAATCAATATTGAGACAAGTACTACTAGTAAGCATGGAGAATTGCAACTGGATACGCCATCTCCTACTTTCAACAGTAACATGTTGTCGCTTTTTCACCGTACTGTATAGTAGCGACGTTGCTTGCTCAAACTCAACTCAATTCAGCTTCAAGCAAGGAAAAAAGACAGGAGACAAGGGATTCAAATGGCAAACTGCCAGCCAATCGATGAATTAAACTGGATCAATGATTCCTATTGCACTAGTGGACCAAGACAGCAAAACAGCAACCAGCCTCGTCCATCGACTGGTTGCAGCATTGAAACGCCTTGCTGCAGCTCAAGACACTTTTCTCGATCATCAGTTTGCTGTCTCGTACCTACTGTAGTTATCATGACATCATCTTATTTCATGAGATCAAGATTACCTAATAAGGATACGCTTATCTTGGACATTTAAGTCACTGACAGTTAACTTCTCCATTGGCTTAAAGAGTTTAGCGTGGATTCCCTGGCAAAACGAATGGCAGTGTGGCAGCTGAGCTTTGCAAAAATGCTGCCAACCGGTGCCAGTATGGAACTCAATGACTGTGCCTCGACTATCACACTAGAGCCATGGACGAACTGCTGGTGTAAATGATATACCCTACGACTGGATTGGGTGATGATGTCAAGCGAGGGCAGCAACAGCAGTTTCCAACTTGTCACGTAGGCGCAAGTCGGCCGTGAAAGGCGGATCCACCACTATGGTCACCGACGCCGTTGGAATTACTACCATTAGTATGGCATTGGTTGGATGATTGATACCCAGGACCACCACTATCCTTGATTGACTGTGACAGCAAGAGCAAAAATCATGTCACTGTACTATAGGGTAGGCCAATTCAGTCAGCAAGTTATGGACTGAAATAGTGTGGTTATACAGTACACTCAGCAATCACTGGTGGATAATATTTGTTTTCCAGTGGCTAGACTTGAGTCGTTCAAGTACAGTAGTCTACTTAAAGTTGTACTAATTCAGTATCATCTGTCTACCATGGCAGTTTTGTGTTAGCAACTTTGCAAAAATAATGTCACTCTACCGTGTGGAATACAGTCTACAGTGTACAGTGTACAGTACTATATGCACAATTTGTACACTGCCGATCGGACCAACTTTTCTCTACCCTGTCCATTTCTCATTTGTGTACTGTACAGTACACAAATGAGCCAAGCCATAATAACCCCCATGACTCAGATACTCAGCGTCAATAGCCTCAACGGTGATACATTATTGTAAGAGTCTGTACACCCGAACCGTACAGGGGCGACATTCTTTTGGGGGGAAAGGGTTCAAATCCTGTACAGACAGTATGGTAGACGATTTCATCAGTACTCTTTGAATAATGGCATGAAATTGGAGGCACAAACTACTAGAATAATGTATCATCGTTGAAGCGATTGACGCTGAGTATCTGAGTAATGGGGGTTATACTGTATAGTGTATAGTGTACACTGTACAGTACAACTGCACATTCTTCTACTGTACGTACTGTACTGTACAGTACTGTACGGTACTGTACAGCATTGTAACGATACTGTGTACTGTACACTGTACATTGTAGAATGCACAATGGAGTGCAATGAATTTCGATGGAGATCAAGTTATGCATCATTTAATACATCATTTGGACTACAAAATTGTTCCAATTTTATAGGAGTGGATAGAAAGAGATCTGATATACACGTTTGCCTAGTTACTAATAATGGCATGAAATTGGAGGTACAAACTCCTAGAATTATGTATCATCGTTGAAGCGATTGACGCTGAGTTTCTGAGTAATGGGGGTTATACAGTACAGTACAGTATACTGTAGTGTACAGTACAGTACAACTGCACATTCTTCTACTGTACAGTACTCACTGTACTGTACAGCATTGTAACGAAACTGTGTACTGTACACTGTACATTGTAGAGTCCACAATGGAGTGCAATGAATTTCGATGGAGATCAAGTTAAGCATCATTTAATGCATCATTTGGACTACAAAATCGTTCCAATTTTATAGGAGTGGATAGAAAGAGATCTGATATACACGTTTACCTAGTTGAAGGTAAAAGAAAAAAAGAAAAAAACCTCAGATACAATCTTGTAGATGTCGTATACAAGATGGACTGCACGACGCGTCAGAGTGGCAGTACGCTAGCTTACAAGATAAACTACCCTAGCTTACGGTATATTGTACGCTGTATGGCCAACACGGCACATTCATCGTCAACCATTCGTCGAGCATGGCTTGCTTAAGAGCTCAGCTTAGGCTATGGAGGATTGCCAACCGATTAACGCTTCCTCTCGTTGCAAGACAGTATGCAGGTGGTAATGGCCTGACTAGGCAATTTCACTTCAACTATAATCCTATCCATACGGGCATAACAGGTAGGCAGCATTCTATATCATACAGCTGACTATTCACCATAGACAGACGAAGAAAGATGATGCAATACTCAACTGCCAGCTCAATGCAATTTTGCATCGATTCATCATCATCATCGAGCTCATTTCGACATCACCAGTAGGCTATCCACTCTTTTACTGTACGATATAATCGTCTCAGCATTTTTCTCCACGCTACTGCCTTCAGTCCTACCATTTTACTAAATAGGTCGTATTAGAAAGGGACGATGTTGCCTATACCCTAGGCCAAGGTCCCTGCAGTAATGCACTATATCAGCCCATGTCCATAAACTAGTCCAGCACAGTAGTCCCATGGAATAGTTAGTGGATCGAGCTGTAGAGGCTCCAATACTGTGTCAATCAACTTTAGATCGCACAAGACGTCGGGCAAGGTGATTTTGTTTACAATTACAACCAGCCATCACCTTGATTCTCTTTTATTCCTACAGTGTCAATAGCATTCATCTCTGCCGACCATGATATAACATAGAGCTTAGTGTAATATGGTATACTATATACGCATCGAAGGAGCGATGAATGAATTCATTGCTATCCACGAATGACACCAATGATATTGGCGCAGCGCTAAAATACAAACTCTGCCATACACGCAAAATGAATATCAAATAGTCTTAATCAATTATAGGCACAGTTCTTAATACTTTATTACCTCTATAGCTTTACTAACTCTTGTAATGATAGACTACAAGTTTATCTGAACCATCATACCCGTCATCGATAATACAGTACATGTTATCTCACTTTGTAGGACCAAGGGTAATCTCTTCCAGATGGTTATGCTCCAATGGTAAAGCTGAATCTACTGGTAGCGAAAACATCGATTCGGTAAATTAAATGAAGTATAATCTTGACAATAATGCACCCCATGACAGGTGCTGCTCTTGTTCTTGTTAATATGACATCAAAATAAGGGATGAGAAATAGTTCAATCTTTACTAAACCTCTAGTACTACAGGAATGATTAAATTACTACTGCATTAACTCCTTAAATGATTGCCATAGAAAAGTCATCGTGCTAACGCTTGATGTGCATTTTCTTTGTCGCCAATTCAAAAGCAAACAACAACCAGTCAAGATGCTAATACGCCCCAAGTCGATGCAGATCAAGAGAATATCGTAGAAGAGAGCTCAACGGTAAATGAACATATGACCGTCGATAGCGAAAAAATAATAGGTATGTCTATTTGTACATGCTTACATTAGTGGAAAAATTTTCATACGTTGCAAGATAGATACCCCTGGCTTACTTTGCTCTAGTTTCATAAGTTATAATGACATTACGAATAGGAAAGGGCGATACTCATGAATTTCAAGCTGAAACTCGCCAATTGTTGGATATTGTAGCTCGATCGTTATACTCTGAGAGAGAGGTAAAAAAATTATACGAAATGTTTCACTGAAAATTCGAAAGTCTATCACAACGTTATATTTTATCCAATCTCAAAGTTCTGCCAATCTACTAAGGCTGTACTAATACTGTATGTGTATACGCATATCCTATGCTGCTTCAGGTTTTTATACGCGAGGTAATCTCCAATGCTTCGGACGCACTAGAGAAATTACGCCATCTTCAAGTAACAGGAGAGAAAATTATTGACGAAGAGTTGCCCTTAGAAATCAGAATCTCAACGGATAGCGTCAAAAAAACATTCACTATTCAAGTATATTAACATACTAACCTAATCGGTTCTTGCTTTCTTCAATACATGACGAAATCGTTTTACATTTAATTGCAAAAACTTCAAAGTAGTCTAACGCTTCCTGCAGTGTAAAATGCCGTGCCTCAAAGATTGTTTCGGTATTTTCATCCATTCAGGATACTGGGGTAGGCATGACAAAAGAAGAGATGATTCAAAATCTAGGCACGATAGCAAGATCTGGCTCAAAGGTAACGCATATGTACCATGTCTAAGAATGTCCGTAGAATGTTTTTTGCGACGCTATTAACATCATATCTGTCTAACCTTTGCATTTTAAGGCATTTATGCAGCAACACGGAAGTGATAATAGCAATAACATCGCTACAAGCATTATAGGCCAATTCGGTGTTGGATTTTACTCCACTTTTATGGTAGCCGATTCTGTGGAGGTGTACTCTCGTTCTGTACTTCAAGATTCTCCCAGCTACCATTGGACTTCTGATGGGTAAGATGCAACATAAAGACCAATTTAATCTTTCCAATAGTTATACTAGGAAATTTTTTTTATTTTGCGTCGCATGAATTATGGTGAAATAAAATGTTTTGTATGTATTATGGGTACAGCACTGGCAAATATAAAATTGCTGAAGCTGAAGGCGTCCAGCGAGGCACAAAAATTATAATTCGATTAAAGGACGATGCTACAGATTTCTCTTCAAATAATATCGTTCAAGGTCAGTTACAGTAAAATTTTTATCCATGTAGACCCAATATGAAAGTTTCTTTTCTTTCTCACTTGCAATTGCAACTCTTTCCTTTACCTCGATTTATTCTTGTGGCAGATTTGATTAAAAAATACAGCAACTTCGTTGGATCTCCGATATATCTCGATGGTGAATGTGCTAATACAGTTGAGGTACGATAGTTTACATGCAGCTGTACACTCTGTAGCCTGTAGTTATCACATAGAATTAACTATACCATGCTATAACAATTCTCTATAGGCGTTGTGGACCAAAAGAGCAAATGATATATCGGATCAGGAACATCAGGTTAATTGATTCAAAATAAAGAGAAGGCATCAACGCCTTCTATATACACTATACACAGTATACCTAATTTTAGATACTGTATCAAAACGTTCATAAAAACACTCGACTGGCAACCTACTGACTCACATGTATTCTTTATTAGGACTTTTACCGATTTATTGCTGGCGGATTTGATACCCCACTTTACAAGTTACACTATACGACGGATGCACCTTTAAGTATACGTAGCTTATTTTATGTCCCGGACGATATTCCAGGGATGTACTTGCAAGGAATTTCTCGCATTGACAGTGGTGTCAGCTTATTTAGTCGTCGGGTTTTAATCCAGGCCAAGTGTAAAGAAATTTTACCTGAATGGTTACGTTTCCTAAGAGGTAACTGACTATGTTCGATTTTTCGCTTAGTACTGTATTTGAATTGAATTAAATGCAATCACCGATAGCAACTGCATCCTTAATCTCCTAACAATGATTTACAATGATATCTTAGGTGTTGTAGACAGCGAAGATATTCCTTTAAACTTAAGTCGAGAATTGTTACAAGATAATGCTTTAATCAGGTACTACCGACGCTTTTCCATGCATTGTGTTATAGACATACTAATTCGTTGTCATAAAATTATTAGAAAGCTTAGCAATGTTTTGACTTCCCGAATCCTGCGTTTCTTTGCCGAAGAGGCGAAAAGGGTAATAGAGATTTAAAAGCATGCTAGCCACCTAAATCATTATAAGTATATGATATACACCTGTTGTTAGCAAAACTGCAATGCCCAATTCAATGTACGTTTTTTAAACACTAGGATCGTGTAAAATTTGAAAATTTTTTTCAAAAATACGGACTCTTCTTCCGAGAAGGTCTAGTCAGCGCTGACGATAGCTCCACCAAGGTAATTCTAATTTTGTCTGTTAGCATATCAACAAAGTAGTCTTATGTGAGATTTCTGTTACGTCTTGCACATTAATACTCATATACTGAGTATAAAAAAAGTTCGTTTATTTGCATTAATTTTATTAGAAAAATAAAATATCAACTGGACAGTGTATACCAAGTAAAACGTAGTAAATCTAGATTTACTTTTACAATTATAGGAAGACATTGCAAAACTGTTTTCTTTCGAATCATCACTTCAAGAGCCCGGAAAATTGACCAATCTAACCGCTTATATTGACCGGATGCCTCCGGGGCGAAAGCATATCTATTACCTATGTGTCCCAAAGTAAGAAGTTGCTCTGCAATATGTTAGCTTAATCACGTTACGATGTACTTTAAACTAACTAATATACTGTGCACATAAGAAATATTATGTAATATGATAATGATTTTATTCTTTCAATCAAAAAGTCGGGCAGCGGCTGAATCATCGCCTTATTATGAAGCCTTGAAAAAGAAAAATGTAGAGGTATGACTTTGCTTTTAAAAAGGAAATCACAAGTAGCTTTTTTATTGCGTAGATGCTCAACGATTTCGCGCTTTCTGAAATGCATAGATCTTATTTGCTTATCATACGCATGACGACATCGTTTTGGAAAGTTTACATCAATTCAAAGGGAAAAACATCATATCAGCTGAAAACTTTAGGGGTGATGAACAAACCGACGCTGTTGATAAAGAGAAATCTGAAGAAGATAAAGATACAGGCAATAATGATTCTTAGTATTAAGTTCCGTTAAGCTATCAAGATGTATTTATGCAAAGTAGTTCTTTTATTTTCTCATGTACGATCATAGTTACGGAAGAAACAGAATCGGATAGATTGCCTAATGAAGATGTGGCAAAGCTAATCGATTGGATAAAAACGGCTCTTGGCCAAGAAAAAGTTTTCGAAGTAAAGGTAATGTGATAAGTAATTTAGTGCACAGATGCTTGACTAGTTGCTTTAGTCATTATACGTATGTAGTAAAGGAATGCCATTTATTGGCAATCAATTTATTAATTTAGATTGTGGCAGCTACCAGACACTACTGCGTGCACTAATCCCTACTTTGTGTATCGTGTTGTATCAGTCTAGATGATATTCTAACATGTTATTGTATTGTCTTATTAGTCTACTGACAACCTGACAACTCATCCTGCTATGGTTTCTGTGCCGGATATGGCAATTGTTAGAAGACTTTTGAAAACCACCGAAATTAATATACCAAGATCTCAGTTTTTGAAGTCAACATTAGAGATTAATCCAAAGTGCGATATAGCTATGATATATTTGTACTACATCTATCTTGTGTACTTAATTTTATATGATAAAACGTGATTTTATCATATGATCGGTAGTTAAGGTCGATTAAAATAAAATGAATGGATGTGGCGCACATGTTATCATCTTACTTATGATCGATTGTTTGTTTTCTTCTAATAGACATGAAATAATGCATAAACTTGCAAAGTTACACCCTGAGAATCCAAAACTGGCCACGTTAATTATAGAGCAGGTATGAAGCTGCGTAGTTAACTTGAATGCATATCATTTGTCAGTGATAGTAATATCATGTAAAATTGGCACAAAAATCTACTAGTATAATATTAATCCTATTTATCTGCCTGACACTTTTCCGGTATATAGATTTTCGATAATGCCATGATTACAGCAGGGCTAGGAGAAGATCCTCGCCCTATGGTTAAGCGATTAAACGAAATATTTTCAAAGATTTTATAACCGATTGTTATTTATAAAACATTCAATAAGGGCATTCCATTTTTAAGCCTGCAATTGCGAGATATATCAATGAGTTCACATTTACCTTACCAATAGCGTGTGTCAATAAAGAATGTTGTACCCAATTTTTATCGTGATCTTGAGGGCTCTTGTTTCTTGGAATTTTTTCTAACGAGCGCTTTGGAGTAAGTTGGCCTTCATGGCATAATATCTTATGGTCATCAACAATTGTAATTACCAAATATAGGCCTCATCAGTAAAGTTACAGTAAGCGATTCTTAGAAAGTTGTGCTCTACGCAGATATAGATTGTATTACCCTCGTGTAGGCTAAGTTAATATTGCACGATAGCAGCAACTGTCTATTTGCTTTAAAGGAGCTAGTCATTGCATCACTGTTATAAAAGTTTATTTACTGTATCACTCCAGTAAGTGTAGACGGGATCGTTATCTTCTAGAGAATCAATGGAGAGATGTGCACTAAATGTAGAAAAATACGCCTATTACGATGATAATTAATTAAGGTACTGGTAGCATAGAACATTGCCAACTATTTCATCACGTACTTCCCTAAGCATGATATAACATGGGATAACCGCTTTTTAGTTCAGATCGAAAAATAGTCAGCAGCAATATTATAAGGATACAGTTTATTAAAATTTCAGCATAAGCTAAATGAAGCTAAATAGTTTGGCTAAATTTAACCGTAGAAATATAGCCCAATAACAGAGCAAGTCACCTACAAATGTGGCAGACGATCCACCAGCGAGTTTTAAAACGTTTCTACAACAAGATTATAACTGAACACTAAGCAAATAATAACTTATTCCAAAGCAAATGGTTATGTCACTTAGATTATAAAGCCTACTATTAAAAGTATTGATAACAATGTAACAAATTTGTTCTAATTATGAATGAAACGATATTGGGAGTATATCTATGTAGCTCTGAAGTAAATCAATATTAAATAAAGCCTGTAAACCATCTTGTCAGCTTTTTGTCTAATATAACATGTCTGATGTAATCATAATTATTCCTTTACTGTATACATGTGTGGTGACAAATGTTTTTTCTGGAATGGTTCTTGACGTAACCAGAACATTGTATTCTATTTTGCACATAAACTTTTTCTCTTGTTGATGTCGCCATAATAATAAGCATGAAATAAGGATTAAACATTCATTTAACCAGACTTGGTTGACATGATCAGAGCTACGATCAAACCGTAAAGACCCAATACTTCGGCAAAGATGAGGATCAAGATCATACCGACGAAAAGACGTGGCTGTTGGGCAGTACCACGGACACCAGCATCACCTACAATACCGATAGCGAAACCAGCAGCCAAACCACTAAGACCAACACTTAGGCCGGCACCAAGATCGACAAAACTCCTACAAGAAAATCCATTTCAACAAGATTAAAATGCGTCAAGTTCAAAAAATGTTCAAAGATAGAATCATGGTTAAGTTTCATTGACATTGGTAATGGGATCAACATACTACAGCGTGCTTCAACTCATACATCTTCTATTGAGATCAACGTAACATGTGGCGCAATATGGGCAACTAGAATAAGTTGATTACACGCGCTAAAAGCTATATCTTGAACATGAAAGGTGAATTTAATGACCTTAATAGGGTAATGATTCCATTTTACTGTTTGTGACAACAGTTCAAGAATGAAATGCTATTTCAATGTCGTTGTAGCATTGGATTGTCTATCTAATTCTACGATCATCAAGAAATGAAGATCACTGAGAGAGAAGTCATCTATTGTCCTAGAATACTATGTTGGTTCGATAGAGAAGTGATCGGACTAGATATTTTTTGGAAAGAGAACTGATAGTAAAATGGCACTACTACGTCGAAACATTCGAAAAAGAGGAGGAGGACGGCGGACTGTATCTTATCTGATAGCAAGATATTATTGTAAGTAGGAGTTGGAATTCACTTCAATGGATACGATAGGGCGACTATCAAAAGTATTTTAGATATTCATGGCTACCCTATTCTCGCTTTGAACTGGTTGACTGACCAGTTCTTGATACAAAGACAGTACAGTAAGTTGTTATGACGATAATATCTAGGGAATTAATATCGAATATTGATATGCTTTACGGGCAGTCTCTTCCAAACTAAATGATTGTAATGTAGAGTAAAAGTCGATCGAAAGCAATATACCATGACGGGAATTCAAGTTAAGACTACAAAGGTATATCAGCGACTAGCATGTGTCGCGTTAGAAGGGCATATTGGTACACATATGTTCCCTATTTCTTACTGGCGGTGTACTTACATAAACAAGGTATATTCGGTTGGCTTGACTGTAAAATAAAAGTTTAAGTTAAGGAAAAGCAATATGATGTTTGACACAGTGTGTGTATCTTTTTTATTCCTCCTGTACTGTAATATCTCTTTTGAGTTGTACGATAATTCACATTATTTTATGTGGATGTTAAGGATACTTCTGTTGGCGATTAAAACAGCTACTACAAGACCATAGATGGCAATGATACCAGCCATAACTACGGGAATGATGGACTTCATAATTAATTCGGGCCTCATAACAGACATGGCAGCGATACCAGTACCTGATTTTGCGGTACCATAAGCGGCTCCCAAGGCTAAAGATAAGTAGGATAAAATAAAAGACATGATGAGAAAAAAAAATGGTAGACTTGTCATCGACCACCATGCACTCGCAAGTTGAAACGCTTTATCAACCCCTGCTACAACTGTATACAGTACAGTACAACATGGTGGGAAAAATGACACTTCTACTGTGGCCAAATTGACCGTTCCCTCTTCTGACAACTAAAAAAACTTTCCACTTACCGCTAAAAACCATAGCTGCTGTAGCACCCATCACACCAAAGAATGGCGTATACATTGGAATAGCGTTGGTATCAGTCATTTTGGAAAAATAGTTTTTTTCTAAGCAAGAACTATACAGTAAAAAATGGCCAAGTTGGAGCGAAAGCTGCGTTTGCCTTGATGCCGAAAGAGAGAGTGAAAAGACTTTCCCAATTGACTGCCACTTAACGCATAGCGAGTGACACTAGATGATGACGTAAAGCGAAGTCAGTCGACGACGAAGTGCGATTGGTGCAATGGGTGTCACGTGCCAGTTGCATCACAATTCTGCAGTGCGGCGCGTGACTATGGAATGATCGGTACAGTACCCGATGAGCTGGATGCCACTGTCGGTAATCTTTTTCACCACAGTACACAGTACTGTACACTGTACACTGTACAGCACTGGTTTGTATGGGAGCGGCATGGCGGCACTACAGTACATTATACTGTAGTGCCGACGTTCCCGACCGGAATCACTTTGCACTGTACTCTACAGTACTACAAAATACTCTTCAAAATTGTACCTCGACAGTACAGTGTATGATACCAATTATCCTGTATATGGCAAAACACCAGCGTCATCGATCAGGCGCTGGCAAACCAGGAGAAATACTGTATGCACATTGTACAGTCTACAGTACGTGTACTGTAGCACTGTTCAGAGTCTGTGCAACATAACCCACCATATGGGAACAGGTGCTGGATCAGTGGTGAGAACAAGCACGCAATCAGTAGTCAGGTTGACGATCACTGACTGAGTAGTTCACCATGATCGAACGATGGCTCAGCTGGCTGTCAGCGCTTGACCATCAGTCCGTGACCCTTGTACCGTACACTCTGTACTGTATTGGAATCATGGCAAGCAAGCACGACACCGTGTTCAAGCAAATGCCCAATCTGTCCTCCAACAGTGTTTCTATTTTGAGCTATCCACTTGCATTTGCTTTTACACCAAGGTGTTGATTCCATTATTCAACTGCATAATAAGGATGGCTAGCCATGCGCTATACTGTACTGTACTGTAACATTCCTCACCAGGACGGTAATTCAACACTAATGGGTAATACCATTTGCAGGTTGGAGCGATCTGAGTTTTTGCTCCACCTCCTATCAACCATGTTCAATGACATGAGGCTCCATAAGTCGGAACGATCCAACAAATCCTAACCAGGGACTACTCACTATTCTAAAAATAGAAAGTAGCTCCTACATAACAAATTATCTATATCAATGTTATGACAAGGCCTACTTCATTCAATCAACCAGCACAGATTGGCGCAAGTATTGAAGACTACTGTTGATTCCTCAATCCATTTTGCAGATGATCATGGATTTACTTGAAGCGTCAGAAAACACAAAAGTTGCCAAGTGAAATTAAGCAACAGTTCTGAGTGCATTTGGTGCTTTAGCCAAATTTTGCTTATTAAGAAAAGCATATTTGAAAGAATCGATCCATTGTATAGTCGTTTATTTTGAATGCAGTTTAACCTGGAATGGCCAATACTTTATTTATCACTTCGCAATCATGCATTAAGACAATGAAATAGCAATTGTATCCATACAAAATAATACTACCCTATTTTTTGGAAGTATGCTTCAGTCCTGTATAAAAGTTGAACATAATGCAGCAATGTGCAGACGTTACCAATTATACTAACATAGACCTGTAAAAGTGATATTCTCAGAATATCCAGTCTCATGAACATATAAATAACATATTTACAGCATATACAGACTGAAAATAACATACATTACATAAACTAACTAATCTACGATACATGTACTGTAGTGAGTACACCGGACCTACAGTACTGTACAGTATAGTACAGTACGTACAGTGTACTTGGACAGTATCTCGTATCTATGCATATCACCTATTTACATTGAATACCTCTACTGTTAGCCTTTAAACAGAAAATTCAGATAAATTTTAAATTTTACTGCAGAATTAAATTAACTGTTATCATTTTTCCTATATAAAAATATATATAGCCAAAGACTGCATTGTACAGTAAATCAAAATTTAAATACAGTACCATCATCAGTGGTGAAGCAGTTTTAAGTTTCATTAACAAACCCTCCTATCAATTCATCCATAACAATATCCTCAACCATAAATAGTCGGTTGATCAATAACTACGAAGGTTAGAATTATAGAATTTCTAAATCCACATGTCGGACTTCAGGAGATGCTTTCTATTAAATGATAGATAAAATCAACATACCAAGAAGTTAAATTTAACTAATTAATGCTTAAACGTTATTGATCTACAGGATAGCAAAAGAAAAGTACAGTATTTGTCTGTCATTGTGGACTCACCTTAATGTTTTTCTCAATTCGATCAACTTCAACACCCAATACATCAATGATACGTTCACCGTGATGCAATATAAACTCATTTAATTCTTCAACAGTTTTTATTTCCTTTACGCGCTATCAACAAAAGGAAGAATCTTCATAACCAAAGCTAAAATCAAAATAAGCTAAGCTATACTCTACAATTCTATTTTACAATCAACGCAACCTACAACAAGTAGCTCCTCCAAGTCTATATTATTAGCGTAGGACCTTGTAACTTCACGACCATCGAAATTGATTTCCGCTTTAAATCTAACGGTATCCGCACCTTTAGTGTATAAGACATATATTATAATTTAACAAAACCACCATTTGCTTTTTATTCTACAAAAGTTGTACAATTTTAGTAGCAATATCAAACCCAATTCCGTTGCTTTAACATCATGAATCGATCTAATATCCCCCAAAAATAATTCAATCTTAATACGGTAATTTATATGACTAAACAATATTGATCACTGTCTCTAACCTTATCATAACGTCATTTTCTATTAGCTCCACTATTTGTCGAAGGCGATTATACGGGATAGATCTATCCAATCAATAATGAATATTTTACACAATTACTGTTAATGAAATCACATCATTGGTTCGGCGTAGCAAGAACTAATGAATAAAACCTACCTGCCTACCAAAGCATCACCATTACGTTGTATAAGGAATAGAGCCATCACGCCTAGCATACCTATTGTAATTAATTTTTATTATACATTTTTATTTCGTAAAAGGTACAACCTTAATTAATTCACTAACTTATTAAATGTAATCAGCAGCAATGGATATAAAGTATTTTATACTACCTCCAACAGCGATAGATCCTGCTGCATCGTATAATGGATTTCCGGTTAACGATGCCAGGGCAAGACAAATTCCTGCTAACGAAACACCAGCCACTGCTATACCATCTTCTAATAATACTGCTACCACATTTGGATCGCGTCCTTTTAAAACTATAGTGTAGAAATAGGGTAAATTAGCACCTTATTGACCGAATGGAAATCACATCAACACCTACATTACCATATTCCTTGAAGGTTAAACCAGTCTCAGTTGCATTTTTCCTAACTTGAGTGATGGCAGCCATAAGTGTGGCTAAAAATGAAGTTTATTTCTTCATCAATCGTTAAGAAAACGATCTTCCAATTTAACAATATTACAAATAGGTATTATTAATACAATTATAAAACCACATCTACCTCCTTCTACTACGAATGAGCCGGCGAGTATAGAATATGCCTGTAGTATAAATAATTATTCAATATCTTCATATTTCGGTAATTTGAAAAATGTACAATATCATAAGTTGACACAGGTAGTAAATTTTATAAATCAATGGATTCTATGGATTTAATAATTCTAAGAGATTTATATCATAATTCGACAACAAGCTGTAGTAGTATTTCCAAATTACCACAAGCAATGACTCAAGCTGATGAGGATTCATAAGTAACGAGATTCCATGATATATATTAACGCCGGCGCCCACACAAAAGATACCCACTCCACTTATGAGAGCATAAACGTAGCGTGCACGAGAAAATCCATAGCTATAGACAGAATGCAATATAGTAATGTATTAATCATTCATAAGGCTTACTATCATTAAATTATCACTAAGAAATATCAAGTAACTGAAACTAACGGATGATCAGGCGAAGGCTGCCTAAGGGAGTAAAATATTCCATATAATAATAGACACTAGAGAATAATGTGGAAAGATCAGTTCACATAACTATAAAATAGGCACAACAACTAGTTCAGAATTTATACCTGATTGGCTACATCAGCTAGAGAATGTATTCCCTCTGATAGCATTGAAGCTGAACCAGTCCAAATATATGCCAATAGTTTAAAGCACATAACGGAAACATTACTAAAATTAAGATAAAAATATATTATATAATAGTTAGGTAGCGAGTAAGCTATTAGCAGTAATAAAAACAGGAAGAAGGTAGTATTAATGACGCACTTTACATTGACATTTATAGTTAATAAATTTTATAAAGTAGATAAGTAGTACCTTAGAATAGCATACATAACCAATTTTGCAGAGCCTCGAACGTGTGACATACGTTCTTCTTGACTACCAAACAGCTTTTAACATAAAAGATCTATTTAGTATAAGATTACTACGAAATACGGTATAAAGCACTAGACCAGACCAGCATGCGTCAATATCTTGTGATAACATAATTACAACGGAAGTGCTTGCAACTAGACAGCATCAGTATCTACAACTTTGAATCTTACGTTAATTAAATCACCTTATGATCCACATTTAATTTTTGCTGATCTTTAACTTGCTTTTTCAAATGTCCCATTAAGGCGCTTAAACCTTATTGTATAAAGCAAAAGAATACTTCAATGTAAGATTTAATCCGGGTGGCTTACATTTTGCAGAATCACGTATAGTTTTTAAAAAGTAAGAGTAAACCAATATTTGTCCATATAAAAACAATAGCCATCACGGATTACTAAAACTATTAGAAAGACAATGTTTGAAGAAAGTTATAACCTCGTCTTCCTCTCTCATCATCATCAAGCTTCTCTTTCACTTTGCGTAATTCCTTATCTAAATTCTCCAAATTTCCCCATTTTGCTATTGCTCTAATGAAGCAAACCAAATAAATTATCAAATCTTAGTCATGGATGTAACAAGTTTCATTATTTTTAAGCTATTACACGTATGTTATACCCTCATAAATCGTATTTTTTATATCGTCTTTTGAAACGAATTTAAACATAGCATAACCTAAATAGAATATTCAAGATATTACCTTTTCTCAACATCCGACTTCCAATATATAAATTCCGAGGTAAATTCCGATGCATAAGCACTGCGGACGGATATATGTTTAAGATCCTGTAAATCTCTACATTAATCAAGCAAAAGGTTTCAATTTGTTGCTACGTACGTGTTAGTATAAAGCTTAAATCAACAACTATTGTACGTGCGATACAACGTGACATCCTTTGCAGTACTACATGCAATATAGTCAACTATCAATGTAATTGCTGTCAAATATATTACTGTACCAAATTTTAGCGATTGTAGAAATCGACTAACAAAGTTATCATGGATTGCATGTTATAGCAGTGCTGTGAAAATAGTAACGAATTATAATCTTTCAACTTACTCTAAAGTCAGGAGGTAATCGTTCATTGCTCTTACAACTGTAATTTGAGTATTTTGGGTATGCTTGGCATTTTTGTCCATAATTGTAGGTTTCCATCTTGGTTTGGTAGGTTTAGCTGTAATTATCCCAAAATAAAGCAAAGCATCCTAATTATATTAACATTTCAGTAGACTGAAAGTCGTTCATGCGATTCATACTACACATACTTGTATACTATAGTTGACAGTAAGTCATTGAAAACATAATGCATACCGTAGTAGTTTGTTATATCTCTCTATCTACTGTACCATAATACTACAAATCATCACAAAAATATCCGAAATTGTAGAGAGCCAGAAACGATTTTAATAATAGCATTATTACTTTAAATTGTTGAACTATTAATAACCACCAAAACTAATGAAATAGAAGGATGATTATAATTTCTATGCAGTGGTATAATAATCCATGTTTAGGTCGAAAGTAGACAAAGAGAAATAGCGTAGTAAGCTGCAATGTCGAAAACTCACGTTTGGCTTCAACCGTACTGGTATCCATTTTATCTTCTTTCTTCGGATCGTCGTTGTGATTGCTACTTGCACATCCACGAATTGGTGCTGCATAACGATACTTTGTTACCCAACTGCGATCATGAAATAGTGCAGTCAAGTCATAGGAAACACCTAGCATAATGAAAGAGGAGATTTACGTTTGGAATACGTGTTGCTATGAAGTTAGCAATTCAATTGGTGTAACTGTGATGAAATATTGTAGTCCCGCAGTACTAACTAATATCAAGTAAATTGAGTATTTGTATTGATTTTGGGGTTATTGAATCAGATAATCTTTCTATCAAACTAGAATGATAGCATAGATTAAGCAAGAATTAATCCAGTACGTCATTGACTCCATGATCACTGAAGTAAACTCTCGGCAAGGCAAATCAGAGACCAGAGATATTGTAAGTACATTACTACAAGCCAGCAGTGTAATATAAAAACAAAGCACTGATACAATGTTCCATATGACAATGAAAGTAGGATTACATCTCATTCTGCTGTATTCAAAATTTCATTTCCATCTCTACACAATGTGTACATTGAACTTTGTCCACTTACTTCGATAGGATAAAGTCGGTAATCTGATGGCAACTTTGTGAGCACTGACAGCATATTGGTACATTGCTAAAATACCTGGCAAACGCGATAACGCCATTGCGTTCGATACAGTCGTGCGAGTTCCTACTAACAGTCAGTTTTTATACCTTCAATTTCCTTCTTCAGCTTTAACGCCACTTGGATCAATGTTAATACCATCTATTCTACCAATCAAGAATTTTGTCTATCACTATTTTCCATATTTAACCATCGATAGGATAGAAACTCTAGCCAGTACCATGGACTTGCATAATATTGTCTACTGATTCATTGATTTTACGAGGCAATGGAGTGTTCACCAAGGGTCTCTACAGTAGTCTTCCCTATCCGTGCGGTCTACGGCCGACTACTGGACAGATGGAGTATTGAGTCAGGCTTTGCTTCATTTCTCTGAAGTGCTGTACAGTACAATGTACTGTACTCTACTGTAGTCTGCGGCGCAGTCAGTGGCTGAAGCTGGATTAAACTGCCTGCAATCGCCATACTGTACTGTACTGTAGAGCGGCATGCCATTCTATCGTACTGTACAGTACAGTGAGTGTACTGTACCGTAACTTGATGTCTGTCTGTCCGTTTTCCATACTATATTGTTGATTCAGTGTACTGTACGATGGGATGAATTTCGGTTCAAATGAGGAAAAAATGGAATAAATGGAAGGACCAGTTTGGAGTCAAATTTATATCAGTCTTTCGTCTCATATAAATTTTATAGAATTCGTCGTAAAAATTGATCACAAAGACATGCACCGATTTATCGGAAAGAAAATTAATCACGTTATACTATACTGTAGTAACGGTACACTACAGTAGTACCTTGTAGATGAAACGATATCAATGCAAATTGGATATTACGAGAGTGGAATTATAGTTGTTATTTTGCAGCGTTCAATCAATCCAACGTAGATTAAAGTGAAGTTAATACGATAAAGTGTCTGCAGCAAATCCTCCAAGCCCGGTACACTGTCAAACGTTCGATAGTGCAATGGTGTAAAAATGGATCCAAAATTCTAATAGGTTCTAACCGACCATCAGACATAATACAGTCCGTAATGATTTGTATATTTTTCAAGCGTTTTACTCGTATAGTAGTCTTTACTATTCACACCTATCGAATGAAAGGGGATTACATAGGTACTTCATTCAACTTGTCATCGATAATTGAATTGGAAAAGTAGCGCCTATAGATAAAAATCAAGGTATTATAATTCTCAAATCATACTTCCAGTAATACGTTTAAACGTATTGTGTTTGACGCTTTTAAAATAGACGATGAAACTTTCACCAGTATTGCTGGTAATATTTAATATTTATAGTGTACGAGTTAGCTAGTACCCACTCGTTCAACTTCACTTTTTAATATGGTACATAGATTATTACTAGAACATACTGAACAGTGTGCACTGTAGACCATGATCGGGTCTAGATTACTGTACAACTAGCTACAGCAGCCGAACCCGCACACCATACTGTGCGAATAAAAGTTCTGGTAATATTAACAGATGTTATGCTTAGTGCACTATCATACCTTAATAATTCAGTCTACCAGCACTGACATGATTAGTATTAAATATCTTGATTCGTATCAAAGTTTTATAGTACTGGCTATAATTTTAGTTTTAGCATCGCACGATACAGCATCGCACGATACTACTGCACGATTATTGTCGTTTTCTAATACCGACATAATGTACAGTGTACAGTAACATTCTGAATTGCTTGCAGACCCGAGTGCCCAATTAAGTCTAGTGCCTGGCCGTGTGATGTGGATTATACGTGGCCTATACTGTATAAGTCTATATATATATATATCAATAAATTAAATACATATATGCAATACTGAGATGATCCAATTACATTAATGCAATTGCACATAATAACCAGAAGAATAAAACATGATCCGAGTACCTGCAATCTACAAAATAAAGGCTACCCGGGTAGACGGAGAAGTGAGTCCGAATAACTGGATGACAATATAACACACTATGTAATTATCAGTGAAGTACTATAGAAGGAAGCAACATACAATTACGACTAGCCTGATTTGCTCATGATATATTACTGTTGTTGTTTCAAGTAAAAAAATGATTATTACTTGTTCCTGCTATGAGTAAACGTGCATTGCATCAGTTTTCCTGATTTATGTAAAACAGCAATGCCTAATTTGATTCAGCATCAATATAGCCTAATAACTAGTTATTGAAAATGTACCGGGCAGTTCACTACCGCCTTATTTATACATAATAAATACACGCTTTAAATCATGTAGACAAAATTGGAACAGTTATTTGCAATCGAGTGCAATAAATCATCAATTCATTTTAAAGTTGAATTTACATTTATCAAAAGTTCAAGCTTTGCAAATGGTTTATCGGTTAAAGTGTCATTGTAATGCACATTGGAAAAAGAAGGCAATTGTTCCTTCAAACAGACAATATTTAAGTATAGTAGATAAAGATAGATATATATTAGGCATAGCTATGTCGGATTGATCAATCATCCAATGATTTCTCAACCAAAGTATTACGTTTGATGGGACACACAAGTAGAAGCATGGATTAACTAGAACAAAATGAATCATTGATGACCACTTTGATGTTGTTTCTGCAGCAAATACAGTATATATCCTCTGGTAATAGTTTAAATCACACATATAGCTGTACAATAATAAATAAATGTTTTCTGTAGTCATATCGATTTTGTACAGGGTTTTCGGTAAGAAAACTAGTTATTTCTAAACACTGCTTTGTCCGATTTAAAGTAGTAGTGAGTAAACTACAAATTGCAATATTGAAAAACGTTTACTTGTAGTTCATCAAGCAGTTAATAAATTGACATTAAGCCACATTACTTAGTAGACTATGTAAAAGTAGAGAGTAAAGTGATATCACTATCAGTCTTATGATTTATAGTACACTAACTGATATAATATTGGAAATGAGGGTATGTACTGTACACAGATTACATTTCAAAGTCAATATCCGATAATCTTAGCTGACTGTAGTCATCACCGTCCAGATCATCATCTTCATTGACAGGACACAACGTCATGCTATCTTGGGCACTTGTCGAACCTGAAGTCATTTTAACATTTCAGAGTACAGTATTCAAATATATTTTCATCCACGATATTCAACACGTAATTAGTAAGACTATTCAACAACATATCATCTATTAGGTGACTATAGTTGATTTCTTAGGAAGTGCATTAAGTGAAATTATTGGACAGATTCAAGCGTAAAAATAAAGAAATAATTGAATGTTTTACAGCTTAAAAATAGCAAGCATACCGATAAGTTCCAATAAATTAGGTTCCCAATTAGAATCAGCCAATGCAAGCGTATTGCTTGAGTTGCACGGTGAAGTCCTGACAAAGTCTAATGTTACACGAGTTTTAACGTTGGGAAAGAAAGTTGGAGGGGCAAAATTTTCCTCTTCATCGATTACTGTAGTCCATTCCATGAATTCAATGTATTCCAGTACATGCAGACATTCAATGTGTAACACAATTTAATAATACACGTTATTAACATTGCACTTCAAGGCAAACTACACCGAGTCTTATTAATGCAACTTTTAGTTGTACTATACAGTACATACTACAGTATACGAACCAGTTAACGGAAATGATGGTTTCTCGATTTCACAGTCATAGTCGATTGTAGTATCACGAACAGCGTTGACTTCTTTTTTCATGACATTGCCAAGAGGTACATTATGCTTTTTAGGTAAAGCCTGTTTTCTTAGTTTTGTATCATTTCCAATATCTCCTAGGGCCCTACGTTTCGTTGATGACTGATTGGATAGAAGTTGCTTTCCTATCGATCGATCAATAAGCAAGTCATTGAAAAAGACATCAGTACACAGCAATACAGCTACTTGCATTGTACAGGCTAATTTCAATCCAAATTAAACTCATCAACCCATGAACCGAACCTTGAAGAGGCCGAGTAGCATGTAAATTTTCTTTCCGCTGAGCTTGACTAGACATGATTTTGACAACGATTTGCTTGTGTTGACGATATTTACAGTTTTGTCGATGGAGAACGATGCTGCAAAAACCAACCGACTGACGATTTTGAAAATTGCCGCAATGACGTGCAGTGCAGTGTACTGTATAGTACAGCGCAGTACGGTGTATAGTACGGTAGGGTGTACAGTACTGTACAGTACAGTATAGTGGAGTACTGTACTGTATAGTACTGTACTGTACACTCACACGACTGTACAGTACAGTGTACAGTGTACAGTATACAGCATTTGTACTGTGCAATCGCGTACGGTACTGTACCAGAGATTACTGTAATAGCATCTATATTAGACCTACTGTAAGAAAGGTTCGGTTCAATACCTTTATGATCTACAGTACTGTATATTCTATATTATTTTATACTGTAGGATGTTATACAGTACTGTACATTACTGTACACTTGTACAGTGTACTGATAGTGTACAAGTGTAGCTGAGTCTATCTGTCTGTACTTCCACCTTAATGCATACTTTTACTTTACGAGGACATCCATTGATAACTGGATATCCGTAGGGGGATAAATACGTTATTATACTCCTGGAGATCAATCAGACTTTTCCATTTATCCCTATGGGGCTACAGGTTGGTATACTGCGCAGTGCTGTCCATCGACTCTTTTCCACTGACATGAAAGCGTTGTGATGGCGATCAAGGCGTCGTATAGACTACACCGGGGTGTGTGATCAAAGTGCGGAAATGCACTACTACCGTACAGACTGCTCACTACTTGTACACTGTGCACAGTAGTGACGATAATGATAATCCTATTTATTAAAATGGTCTGGATCGATCCTATAGGCCATGACAACAAATAGCAAAGCCTGCGTATTTGACATACCTTACTTACGTACTTGTTTGATTGAATACAATACTTCAATTTATCACTTTATGTATCAAGTAAAATGAATATTTGGCTAAAATGAAGTTGCCGTGATGAGTATAAAGTTAATCGCACCCAATTAAATCCAATTGCCTATACAGTCAAAGTCATTTGATTCTTTTTCCATAGAATAATAATAAATCATAATTTAATTAATAAATACTATATCGTGTCGGATTGGCGATGGATTGCTGTTGCAACCTGTCTACAGCCAGACAGACGCTTGTACCTGCCTGCGGAAGTCTATTCAGTAAAGTGCGTAGTTGGTAGACTGACTGGGAAAGCGACAGTAGCACTTGTCAGAAGCTACCCAGCATGAGTGTGTTTTGTAGGGTAGTGTACCACTTGAATCAGTCACCTTATCACTGGCATGACAAGTTCTTTCAGTACCGTACCGAACCGTACTGAGACGAATCGATCCATTTGCGATGACTTCATGATGACGAATCGATTGGAAACTAAACAAATTCTAGCGTAAGAAAATGGCAAAACATTTCAACTGATCATGTCGTAAATAGTGCAGTGCCACATCGCTGAACTTTATCAAGATGAAGAAATTATTCAAAAATATCGCCGATGGTATTCAAGCACCCTACGCAAGGAATAAAAAGGACGACTGGCTCTGTAGTACATGCGGAACACTCAATAAAGACAGCGTGAGGAATTGCCAAGCATGTACGATGCTGAGAAGTGCTGGTGAGGATCATTTCCATTCCAGTCAGGAAGGTACATCGATAGACTACTTTAGGATACAGTATACCGTAGTTTCTCCTTTGACTCTGTTATCGCAAGATGGAAGCACCAAGAGTAGTGTGCTTTTATGCTTGGTACTCTTGTTAAAAGGGTCGACAGATACAACGAATCGTTTATTTATAATTTTAGTGATAGTAGTCATAGACTTACTATACGCGTTCGTCAATCAAGAATTAAATATTGCAGGATCGATAAGCTTCATTCAATGAATCCTTAGCCAATGTTAGGCTTCGGGAATTTTACTACTGGCCAGTAGATCGAACGTAGTTCTGCCAATATTTCATTAAACTATGTAACTGTAGTGAACCGAAAACTTGAAATTTTTCTAAAATAGTTCAAGAGTATAGGAGTCATCTTCATTGCTGATCGTTATAATTAATTATTATTGATGTAAAATCCTTTGATGTTGTACATCATCCGCCGATATTGCAGTGAAGTTAATCCTGCTTTATCCCAACGATACAGTCTCTAATAATTAATTCCATGTTGCTTAAAAGGTTACTCTCTACATTATCATTCAATACATTCATGCTACATGTATCTTAAATGATAGACTATGCTTGTGCCGATGAATTGATGATTTCTAAAATGAAACAACAAAAAGTTGAACGAAACCAGTGGAAATGCCCATCCTGTAACAGCATTAACTTATCGGCCAATTTAACATGTGGTGTTTGTCATCAAGCGATGAAGACAAGGAGTACAACTAACTCAACCACTGCTAAGAGCATCCACAGTAAAGCCAACAGTAGTATCAATCATCCAGTCACCAATCATAACCTTCATAAAGATAAAAAAGAATCAACAATTCAATCATCGCATGACTCGTCGTGGACTTGCATCCACTGTAAATGTGCTAATAAGAATTACGATAAACGATGTATCCGTTGTGATACTCCAAGAGATAAACACTATAATGCTGATGATAGAGTACAAATTGTAGATCTAGGGTGGAAATGTCCGAGATGTACTTTAATAAACACCGGTAACTATTGCCAGGCATGTGGACACGCTTTCAACCACAAGGAAGCAGATAAAGCATCCATTAAAACTGAAGGTTTGTTAACGCTGCTTCAATGGAAAAGTATCCTATTCATCATTAATCCTTTAATTTGCCTTGTATTCTTTGAATGTAGTTGATCAATGGCAGTGTTCACAATGTACCTTCATCAATAATGCTACAACACAAGTATGCACGATTTGTGGCAATCAACGTATAACAGCTGTGAGTAAAAACGCCATTGCTGATAAACCGGCAACCGCATCCATGACAACCGATATAATTGTCGATGAAGATACCGGTGGGATATCAATGGAAGAGCAACGTATTAAAGATGAAGCGGTTGCAAAGGCGCAATTTAATAATATTATCAATACTTGCAATAAGGTAGATCGTGAATAATGGCTAAGTTACCGACAAGTATACTCTGTGATTTGTTGTCCAATAAAATTATGATCGTAATATTATGTACGCATACTCACAAGTCACGATTCATTTCGTTTTTATGATGCTTATAGAATAAATGGCAGTTTACCGACGATTCATTTTTACCTAATGCCAAAGCTTTATATCGAGATGGAAGATCTAGACTTGGAGCAAGAGTTAATAATTGGCTTAGACCTGCTAATATGTCAGCAATGCAAGCAACTTTCAAAAGTTTTTTAGCAAAGCATCAAGTTAAATGGTCCATTTTTCGTACCCCGTTACCATCCGATATCAAGCAAGGAGTTTTAGGCAATTGCTGGTAAAGAGTAATATATTACGATTATTACCCAACGCCAACACCAATGGCTAGACGTAATTGACCACTGTACTGTACGCATTTTTTGATAGGTTCTTGAGCGCCTTAGCTGTTTTAGCTGAGCGACCAGAACTGGTCCAACAGGTCATGATCACGCCTGAGGTACATGAGAAATTTCACTTTTTGATATGTTACCATAGCGTAAACAAAATAGCTTAAAATAGTTTCTATCAAATACAACAGAATGTAATTCTACGTACCGAGTTAGCTCGTGATATTGATATGATTAGATGTTATTTGAAAATTTAACTGATAATCTAAATATTTTTTATTTCTTAGATTAATAACGAAGGTGTATATCAAGTCAGATTATGCAATAATGGTCGTTGGAATATCATTCTTATCGATGATTTCCTTCCGTGTGATGAATACGGGCATTTAGTCTATTCTCAAGTATGTAACTATACTGATCGCAGTACAAGTCGCATAGCGATGATAATTAGTTTAGTCGTAGCAATACTTGTATTATTAAAAGTCATGTGGATAATTGCGATTATTTAATAGTCAGCTACTTCTTTAGGCTGAAAGAAATCAATTATGGGTTCCATTTATTGAAAAGGCTTTAGCTAAGATGCATGGATGCTATGAAGCATTATCTTCTGGTCGTTGTATTGAAGGTCTAGCTACACTTACTGGAGCTCCTTGTGAAATGATTAAATTACAAAGTTGGTCACAATCTAAATTTAAATTGATAATGTTATATGCATATCATACTTAATAATGAAATTTATTCATTAACCGTACAATCTGGTTCTTACTTTTCAGAAACAATAAGTAGTTATTCTCCTGATATCGATAAGGATTTAATCTGGGCCCGTTTATTAAGTTGTAAAGAAGCTAGGTAGCTATAAAGTTATGAAATAACCATATCTCCGCGTAAAATTAGCGTATTATTTATCATTCGACTGATTAATTAATTATTTATTTAAAATGTTGGTATAGCTTTTTGATGGGTTCATCGTGTGGTTGCTTAAATAGCAGTATAAATGCAACAGAATATCACCAAGTTGGTTTACAACCCAACCATGCTTACTCGCTTCTTGATGTACAAGACATTAATGGAATCAGGTAAAGGAATAATATGAATAGGTGGACATGTATCTTCTAGATCAAATGAAAACCTAATGATGTTTCCATGTCAGACAATAATCGATAACTCTACATCGATATTACTTTAAAATTTAGACTAGTAAGGCTACGCAATCCGTGGAAACGTTGTTCCTGGAATGGCGATTGGTCTGATGATTCACCTCTTTGGACAATAAGTTTACGTAATAAATTGCTTCCTCATGGTAGTGAAGAAGGCATATTTTGGATGTCATTTGATGATTTTATGAGGTATATTTACCCAGATGAGATCAAGCCTTTTATCACCTGTTATTAAGTTCGGTATATATCTTCCATGTACATGTGCACTAAACCCCGCTACTTTTTGAAAGATCTCAAGAATACTTCGCTGGAACTATTGTACTTGATGCATTATATACTACTAAACACTTCTATATAAAAAATTTCAAAATGAACCTCATTCTATGGTAGCATAAATCGAAAAAGGTCAACCTTTATGTAATTTCGTGATTATTCTGTAATTTATTGATATTACATGAAAATCGCCAATCTACATAAACGCTGACCTATTTTCGGTCTGTGTTACCCAAGAATGCGATTAATTTCCAAATTTTCTTATATAGAAAGTGTTTAGTAGTATTTAATAAATCAGTAAGACAGTTCCAGCGAAGTATTCTAACAACTTTTTCATAAACTGGCGGAGTCTAATTTGCGCTTGAGAGTATAACCCATTGGACAGTAAAATTTCTTATAGCAGCCATTAAAATATCAACGCCCGTATTAGCCTTGACTGTATTCTTTGCTTATGCCTCAGATATTTTGAAAGTGTTGATGTATGTAAAGTAAATCCGAGTTGGATGGAAAACAGGATTTCGGGACATTTTTCTTTACCAATGACTGGTAATGTTGTAAAGTGCCACCAAATTGCTGTCTTTGAAACATCAGAAGTAGAATTTTCTCTATACCAAGATAACCTCAGGTGTGCTGGCTAAAATTTCGTGGGTTAAATTGTAGTTGCAATTTCCTAACGTAAAATCTATACATAAATTTTCTTTCAATTTATAGAGCCGTAGGAAATAAATCAAATGTTGATATATTGGACGCTGTGGTAGTAGTTTACAAATGTGATTCTGTAACAGGCGAAATTTTGCACTGTGTTGTTAAAAGTGAAAGAAGATATCACGCTTACTTAAACTGCCATGCTCTACTTGAACCTGGTTTATATATTGCTATAACACTGTCGTTTCAAAACCTCTCCATTATTATGCAAACTTGCTCGCTAACAAATTTATCCAGTAAGAGATCTAAAAATATATGAATTTGTACTTATGCATAATGAATGTTAAATCTTTGAAGTCAGATATAGTTAGTTATATCTGCTGAAATTTCACCGAGACTAACTGTAATTTATTATTGCTATTAGATGAAAATTTATTATTGAGTGAACAATCGAAGTATGTTTTAGCCTTGCATTCTTCCAAGGTCATTCAAGTAGATGAGGTAGAAAATACATCAAGTTTTGTTGCAAATGCCTTATTCTTGATGGTTGAAAAATATGGAAAGCAGCACGAAGTAATATAATATTAATATAACCTAAATTTTCAATTTATAGCCTAGCATGACATTACTTATACTTACATTTTCTGATTTTTAGATAGCGAATCTACCTCAAACATTAAAGTGTTCATATCTTATGGACAATATGGGCGGATTGATCATGACTGCGGAAAATGGTACTGCTAATTCATCATTTTATATTGAATGCGATTGTTCTGGTAGCCAGAACCTAGTGTCGACTCGTGGTGGATTATTAACAGTTGATTGCCTTCCTCCAAAGACACGGTAAATTGTCGATATGCGTCAATATACCCTTACTATTTTTTATAATTGACTATGATATTGTGGTTATAATATGTTGTTAAATCTATCTTTCTAATTGAAGATGATTTATATCAGATCTACAAGTGAAACATTTAAAGGAGGTCTATTATTTGCATCACAATTTTAACTCAATTTTATTGTTACTATAGGCAAGTTATCACAGTACTAAGTCAAGTTGACCCTCTGGAGCTCTACGTAGTTAATCACAATGTTCATTTAAGATGTATCTCCTCTCGAAGACCGACTCCTATGCATACGAGTACGCCAGAAGTTAATAAGTTTAATCATGGCTTACACTGTGTATTACCTGTTTACAAGTAAATATTTAATATTTTCTAAAAGTTAATGCTCTTGGTACAACGACAGCGAACTAAATATCACCAACGTCTTGTTATCGTGATAGCAAAATAACAGTATGGAATACCTGGTATATTTATTTGGCACGAATACTGCCATCTTGTGAATTTATTTTAAATCGAAGTCTATCAGTATCATGCAGTATACATAATTTAATGTATCTTATCTTATTAAACAGACTGATTTGAGCTTCCGAAGTAATTTTTTATGGAATTCTTGAATTTAATATCTTATATATACTATATATCATAAATGGTGTAATTTCCATGCCATAAAAATCTTTTATGTTGACTATCTCGTTTTCATACTGTGTAACAGACACTAGTGTGGAAGGTCTTGAAAGATTACCCATTTAATTGTTGGCCTTATAATTTCCAGTACGGAGTCCATCATATTTCGTAGATATTATGATGACCAAAAAACTTTCGATTCTAATAAAATATCGATTTTGCTAACAGTCAAAACCGTTCAAATTTGTGCGATATCGACTGTAAGTTTTCTACGACAAATCGATACATTAGAGCAAACCGAACCTTTCTCAGATCTATTGTAGTATGGGATCATTAAAAAATTCGAATATCTTACATTTATGCGAAATTTTTATAAATAAAAAATAAAAAAACTTATAATTTTATTCAATTTCGCAAGGTTTGTAACATGTCGCACGCAAATAATTGTTGAAATATTTTCAAATAGTATAAAGGTACTTGATAATTTTAAGCGAAAGTATACACACTGATTGATAATATACGTATTATGTATTGTTTATGAGATCAAAATCGAAGTAGCAAGGCTGCCCTGATTTGATACAGTTCTATTTTATATCACTGCACCTCATCAGAGATCTGTTATTCTTGAATAATAACACACAATTTACCATACATGTACAGCACTTCCGAGGGTAAACAGTTATATACTCTAATTTAAGGCTAGTATGTATTAGATTAATACGAAAATATCTATTGTAAAAGTGGTCAATGAAAAATAAGAAATTAAACGTTGTCTGCTATGTATTGTACAATTAGGCAAGCTTGCTGATATTCCTAAACGTTTACCTAGATTTAGTAATAAAGAATGTATTTTCATTTATAATGCTTCCACCGGTATAGTTTATACGGAAAGTACAGCTAGTGCACTAATCGCTACAATGCACGTACAACACCAAGTTGTTGATAATTACAGAAATTTTTATGATTGACGTGATCTAATTTCTCAACTAATAGCATATAATGCAGAAATATAGAAGTTGATCTTTATGCTGACATTACTACCTACTGTGAGAGTTATCCAATCCAAGTAATTTTATTCCATTTTCTTCTTAGTTATAATATGATCTTGCGTTACAACATCAGCGTCCCAAAAATCAATCATGCCCGTGGTATGAAATGCCACATTGGATAATATAATCAAATATTGGAATAGCGCATAATAGCTATACACTGATATGATAATAATCAATGTGTTAAGAAACCTTGCATAATTTAGGTAAAAACTTGGGGATCAGATGCAATGTTAGTGCGACTTGTATATAACATCTGATCCAAATACTTCGTTCGCTTAAACAGTTAATATAAACGTGTAAGAAATTAGTCAATACAATTATTTTTTCTTAACGTAACCTTAAGTAATACTGCACCAACGTCAGTTCTATCTTGTTCGATAGATTGATTGAATACTTTGTAAATAATTGCATAAAAGGATACTGTAAGGTTCACAGCGGGCATTGTGTCTAACATAGACAACCATCGCGATTCCAAAGAAGGAAACAAAGAGCAAAAACATTGCGAGCTTGTACCTCAAGGATTTTTGCCACTGTTTTATGTTCATCCAACAGTTTATTTTGGTAATAAATAAAGAAAAGAGTGATTAGATTAATTTTAAAATTAAGCGTAAGTGTTCAACAAGGTTATAACTTTAAGTTAGTCTTAATCACTAAGACGGTATAGTAGAGTACGAGTTTTACATTTACGACGATGTTTATGTATGAGTATTTTCTGCCTACCGTTGACGGCAAAACTACGTTTCTGCGTTTCCACCAATATAAAATACAAGTCAGCATCATGTAGATAATTGCAAAAGTAATGAAATACACAAAGCTATTGATATGGAGACCTATAGAAAAAGGGAACAAGATATGTTCTGAAAGCTATAAAACACGACAGAGATATTCAATGATCGCTTAATATATGGCCAGGTGAAGAAGCAGTTGAGTGATGTAAACGTGATACTGTATATGAAAACTAATTGAAGGAAAACCAATGATGTTAAAATTTTGACAAGGGTAGATGACTAGTTTTCCCATTCATTATAATGAATTGATTGTTGATACAGTAAATGTATAGTAGTTAGAATTAATTGTAGAATTCTTACGGTGATTTTCAGTTGATGGCACATTACTTAGCAGCATTAAAAAAAAATTTTCCAAGATACCACTAATCACAGTAACGACAGAAATAAGCCAGTATAACGTCGGCCAATTACTAGGATCGGTAGGTCGATAAGTTTGAAAGACGTCGTAATATAAGACGTTATAGTAGATTCTTGGTCCACTATGAAATCCTATTCCAAGGCGCCAAATATAGCTTTGAGGAGAGTTACATATAGCAGCGCTTAAGGAAGGCAGGAATTGAGGCACCTGCAATGGAAACAGTACCACTATTATTGATGTTATATCAGTGCGAAAGATGAACTTGATAACCGATGATAGTACAACTTGACAAACATATCCATCTACAAAATGTGCTTTGCATTCCATACTATTTTATTCTATCACGCCGTCTATATAATAATTATCATCAGCCAGATCAGCTCCAGCATAGGATGCAGGGTTAATGTCTTCTAAACCATGTCGCATGTATTACCATTAATGAATAAGAAGCAACGCACACTACGATACAATCATTTCGGATATTACTTGGCAGTCTACACATACTAAACTTAACGTAGTGTTATCTTGTCTATCGATCAACGGTAAGTCCCTTATTGATTGATCCTAGGGAAGGAGTTGTAGTTGTTGTGTATACGATTGGATTATCAAGCTCAAAATCAATGCGTAAGTTACATGCTGTCACAACATCCTTTTCGATTGAGTTATGTCATATCCCCGAATGTACAGTACGCTGTCTGCAACAGTTGTTGCACGTTTGATATTGGCGTATATCAATGAGCCAATACGTATATCACTTGTCAAGATTGAAAAGGTAGGCGCAAATAACAAGATTAAGCGGTAGGACATCTGATGATATCAGTCTATCGTATAAGCGTAGATAGACATTTGTTCTACACTTGTACAGTAGCATTGCCTCACCAACTGTTGTGATGTTGAATGAGGCAGCAAGAAGGCCATTATCAACGACTAAATTAGCAACCATTACCTTGCAATGAGTGGCAAGAGATTCTTCAAAATGGTAAAGAAATGTTAGAATTAAGCAGACACTGAAAGAGAGTAAAGGAAGCGATAAAACAACATAGCCACTACGGCGAAATTTATGCGTGAAGAATGTCGGCTTGGCTGCCAGTTCGGAGGAAGCCATTTTGCAAGTTGCTTTCCAACTGTACCCACACTGAATGTACAGTTGTACACCATGGACTTTGACTACTCAATTACCATTTCAACTCAACACACTAGCCGTACCAACACCGGTGGATAGTTGAGTCCGAAGCTGTACTACAATGCAAGATACCGTACTGTGCAGTGTTGTCCTGTAGAACTGCGTACTGTACACTGTAGTAGAGTCATGTGACTTTATCGTATATGTCATATACTGTACAATGTACTGTACATTTGTAATGAGAATACTGTAAGTCATACAGTATACAGTACAGTGCTGTACTGTAGGTACGAACTCGTACATTACACTATCCAGTATTGAACACAGCCCAGCAAAGCAAAAGCAAATGAGTGAAATCGAATCTTCATTGACAAAAATCTTTTGGTTGTGGTAGCCTGTGATTGAATACTGAATGTACAGTTGTACACGATGGACTTTGACTACTCAATTACTATTGATAAATTAGTCAACACACTAGCCGCTCCAACACCTGTGGATACTTGAGTCCGAAGCTGTACTGCAGTGCAATATACCGTACTGTGCAGTGTGCAGTGTTGTCCTGTAGAACTGCGTACTGTACACTGTAGTAGAGTCATGTGACTGTACAGTACATGTCATACTGTATACAGTACAGTACAGTACATTTGTAATGAGAATACTGTACAGTACGTCTGTACGTCTGTACTCTGTGCGTACTGTACTGTAGTCTGTAGGTACGAACTCGTACATTACACTATCCCAGTATTGAACACAGCCCAGCAAAGCAAAAGCAAATGAGGTAAATCGAATCTTCATTGACAAAAATCTTTTGGTTGTGGTAGCCTGTGCTTGAATACTGAAAGTACAGTTGTACACGATGGACTTTGACTACTCAATTACTATTGACAAGTTTGTCAACACACTAGCCGCATCAACACCTATGGATACTTGAGTCCGAAACTGTAGTACAGTAGAGTGCAATATACCCTACGTACAGTATGGTACTGTAGAACTGCGGACTGTACAGTGTACAGTACTACAGTATACCAGTGTACAGTACAGGAGAGTAATGTACTGTACGTACAATAGAGCAGAGTCATGTCTACTGCACTGTACTGTACATTTGGAATGAGAATATCTCATGTACGTACAGTATAAGCACCAGCTCGCCCATTGAACACGGCACAGCAAAGCAAATGCAGATGAGGCAAATCGAATGTTCATTGACACCAAAATCTTTTCATTGTGGTAGCCTGTGACTGAAGAGAGTGAACATGGAACCAAAGAGATCCAGTATTCCTCTTTTACTCTTTGTTAACACTGCACATACAGAGCAGATTTCCCCAAGCACAACAACTCTAACATTCACCGAGAAAGGCAAAGCCGTAAACCATGCTAAATAAAAATAATATAACTCAAGTACTCTAGTCGAGGTTCCCTACCGTTCAGAATAAAATAACTGTAATTAGACAGTTATTTTCAATGAGTGCTACAGTTTATCAACTATTTACGCGTACAATCAATTTCCCGTCGATTGGTATTTTAAAATAACAAATAAACTAGTCAACTGCTGGCTGCTGACCCGATTTTCATAAACAGCCGTACAGACTGAAGTTGTTTTATTTGCAGAAGGATTTGCGAAAACCACCGAAAAAAGAGTTGGAAATGATTTCTTGATTTCTTACCAAGATTAGATCACTATACCATCCTGGGCCCTGGGCTACAATGTCGAATTTAGAGAACTACAAATATTACTGCACCGTGTTGATTACAATAGCGTCACTAATAGTAAAAATAAATGTAATTTTTTTTCCTAATTTTGCTAAGGTATGTAAAGAGCAGTATCATACTATCCTTAATTTACACTCGAAAATTGCGAGACAGTAGAGAGACCCTACGGGCAAGTGGATCAATTACAATCCCGTACACGTAATAATCTATACAGTATAGTACTGTATAATGGGACAATATGCTGTATTTGCTTTCAACTTACCGTCCGCTTAACTCACTTATACGCTTATTTACGCTCAATCAATTACGATTCTCTAGTGATAATACAATTGTTATCATTGTATGTTTTAGCTGAGAATACACCAAAAGATGTCCTCAAAAAGATGGTAACACTTTTACAATCTAAAAGTTTAGGAAATGTCTGACATTACTTGCTGTCAGCATGAAAGGATCAACGATAATAATCTGCAAAGTCGTTTTGAGAAAAATATTCTTTTACAGTGACTAAACTGACTGAGAACTGTAGGATCAATCTTGAAATACTGTTGCAGCACCGTGATTGAAGATGACACCTGCCCGGTTTCACCTCGTAGTGAGTCATGACTACTAACTGTATTAAAAGACGAGTGATAATAGAAATAAAATGATGCTCTCTGTTTCTAGTAGTTTTTAGTAATAACAGCCCCTGACACTATTGTAAAATCATGTACTGTATAGCCTGTAAAGTAATTTATACGTAGCGCGATCGTAGTACAAACTATAGGGACTAAACAATGCGTAATAATGTAATGTTGATCGATCAATATTCCATTACTGTCTACGAATTACAAGATGATTTACATCTACTCGATTATTCCAGGCCAGGCCTTGACCACAGTATGGCCACTGAATCGTACATTATTTTGTAGATGTTCAAAATAGAAAGAATTCAAAACTATAGGTAACACGGTAATTAGCAATCGATCACAGGACTAGCCAATCAAATACATAACCATACTTCCATTATAAATATCTTATGCTATCAGACACCTCATAGATTTGTACAGTATTGTGTGTATTTGACGTTTAATTCATGAATAAATGAATATCAACATATATATACAGTACAGTACAGCTCCTGTGAATTGGCTATAAAGCATTGGCTATATTGTATGTCTGTCTATACGAATGTCCTTTAAAAGTCAACCATCAACCCGAATTGAACCCGATTCGATGGGGGAGGTTATAAGAATTTCTATGCTAATAAAAGTGTTTGTATAGCAATTGCACTCATTTCGGGTTAGGAAATTAACAATTTGATCGGGTTTGGGTTGCGTTTTTACTCCATTGCAGGACTTTAGTATTTACTGTACGTACTGTACATAGTGTACATAGCACTAAACTTGCAGAGACAAAAACTGCAAACTTCGCCTGCGCGTTATTGATTCATAATTACTATTACTCAACAATGCCGTCGTCAGTCAATTTATCGGTCAACCTTGGCCGTCATGACGCATACACTCTCCTAGCAGCATCGACTGTACGATACTTGTACGGTAATCTAGCAAGAGTCCATTTTAGGCCAATTATTGGACATGGACGAAATACCAAACTAGGTAATGTTACTTGTTTATTTCCATCCAACTTTCCTGCTTTCAACGATTGAAACACTGTAGCTTCTCCATTTTAGGAGCAACATTATTTCATTTCTAGCAGGAGATCACACGCACTATCATTCACTCTGCAAAACACAAAAATTAAAGGACAAAGGTAAAACCATCAGGATGCATCAACATCAAATATATCCGTATTCAGCTAATTAATGACTGGCTTTCGACGGCCAGCTTCAAAGGCAACCAGTAGAAATCGCATGTGTAATAGACGCTAGCTCACGTTACTGTCATGCAAAATTGGGTGTGTTGCCTTTTGTGTTGCAGTTGACATGGACAATAGGTGCGGGGGCGATTGTTGGGCAGCTCCAGAGGTGCCCCCCTACTGTGCTGGAAAATTTGACCATATATGGTCAAAAATGAGCCCAGCACCCGGGCCGTCTGCAATCAGTGTGATGTCATTGCATTGTTTTCTAAAGACTTTGTATTATTGTACAGATTCAATTTGCTCAATAATAATAACTACCACAGTAGACTACTTCAAACAGGATAGTCAATTGGTAGTCTAGCTATACTTGGAAGTCCAAGATTGCCTTGAAGTGAATTCATCTTGGCAGTATTTACAGAATAATTAAATGAGATGTTTTTTCAAGAAATAGGACAGTACAGTATTATGAATATGTGAAAAAATATGCTATACAGTAGTATAATGATGCTACGTTGTCATGACTGATTGATGCCACTACTTGTGATAGAATAGTAAGGCAAAGCACACTTTTGTTGAATGATTGATGTAGAATGGGAAAATTACGTGGAAAAAATTCCTTCCTCTTCATTGGAAAGCGTTCATCAGACAGTTTAAACGTTGATCATCACGCTAGAAACAATGATCGTTTGTGGAAGACGTTTGCAAAATAGACTCAACCGAGAGAGAGAGAGAGTACGGTATAAATATAGTCCTGCAGCTAACACGCTGAGCTATGACAAAAAAAGTAGAAAAATAGGCCTAATCCAAAAGTAATGACCATGAAATACAGTACTGTCATGCAAAACAGGCATGTTTTTCTTCTGTGAATGTACTGTACATTGATGATATTTATGTATTTACTTTATTTACCCATCCCCCAAAATGAAGAGAAGTGATGACAAAAGAAGTCAAGAAAAACACTTTTTTCATGACCTGATATGGAAATTGGTTTGCTCCGATTTGGATTATAGGATAATGTTGTACTCAATAGGAGGGATTCTACAGTATTGATGGGTATGGTATCTGCAGCTATAAATTTTATCCATTGGAATTAATTAATTAATTAATTCCATATCGCCCTAGTACAGTACAGTACAGTACTGTACCGTACCGTATCGTACTGTACTAGACGGCGTACGGCGTACTGTATATAGGCCTGTATGACAAAACAAAGTAAATGATACTACTGTGCATTCTCAAATTCAAAACACCTTGACCATGTTTACCATTGGTTATCGTCACCTGACGTCATGTAACAACCGTAGGGGGGGGGGGGTGAATCCCTCAGCACTTTATATAAATCGTATTTCACATTCACTCGCCCTCCACTTTTCGTCGACGTTGCAACTCGAAGGTACCGTGCGAAACTTCCACTTGACCGTTACAAGGATTTTTTCCTCTTGGCATTTCTGATTTTTTTTTCTCTCCATAAAACCTAATTTCAATTCACCATGTCAGAAGAAGATGTTCAAGCTTTGGTAATCGACAATGGCTCCGGTATGTGTAAAGCCGGATTTGCTGGCGATGATGCTCCTCGTGCTGTTTTCCCTTCAATCGTCGGCCGACCTCGCCATCAAGGTATCATGGTTGGAATGGGTCAAAAAGACTCGTATGTTGGTGACGAAGCACAAAGTAAGAGAGGTATCCTTACCTTGAAATATCCTATCGAGCACGGAATTGTCACTAACTGGGATGATATGGAAAAGGTATGTGACTTTTTGGTAAAATAAAAATGCAGATATGCAGTGGTACTGTACAGTGTACAGTACAGTACTTACTGTTCGATAGTGTGCAGTGGCAAATGATGCATCGCGTCTTGACACATTCTTTTGCAATGCTACTGCTTTCAGTATAGACTTTGCAAAGAAAAAAATGCCGTTACGAAAATGAAAGAAAAAAAATTGAATGTATCCCTTTTTTTTCCTGTCTAGATCTGGCATCACACTTTTTACAACGAATTGCGTGTAGCTCCAGAAGAACATCCCGTCTTACTAACTGAAGCTCCCATGAATCCCAAAGCTAACCGTGAAAAAATGACTCAAATCATGTTCGAAACATTCAACACCCCAGCTATGTATGTCAACATCCAAGCTGTACTATCCTTGTATGCTTCTGGTCGTACTACTGGTATCGTTCTCGATTCTGGCGATGGTGTAAGCCATACCGTTCCAATCTACGAAGGTTACGCTTTGCCTCATGCTATGATGCGTTTGGACTTGGCTGGCCGTGACTTAACTGACTACATGATGAAAATCTTGACTGAACGTGGCTATACTTTCACTACTACCGCTGAACGTGAAATCGTTCGTGATATCAAGGAAAAATTAGCCTATGTCGCTTTAGACTTTGAGCAAGAAATGCAAACCGCTGCTTCTAGTTCAAGCCTTGAAAAGAGCTACGAATTACCTGACGGTCAAGTTATCACCATTGGTAATGAACGATTCCGCTGCCCAGAAGCTCTCTTCCAACCCGCTTTCTTAGGTATGGAATCCGCTGGTATCCACGAAACTACCTACAACTCTGTAATGAAATGCGACGTCGATATTCGAAAAGACTTATACAGTAATATTGTCTTGTCTGGCGGTACTACTATGTTCCCTGGTATTGCTGACCGTATGCAAAAGGAAATTGTTAGCTTGGCACCTCCAACTATGAAAATCAAGATCGTTGCTCCACCAGAAAGGAAATACTCTGTATGGATCGGAGGATCTATTTTGGCTAGTTTATCCACCTTCCAACAGATGTGGATCTCCAAACAAGAATACGATGAATCTGGCCCCGCTATCGTTCACCGTAAATGCTTCTAAGTTCGTGTTAAGTTTAATTTATACAATATCCAAAAAATCAATAACTATAGCAATATCAAAAATCTGATAATAAAACTGATTTAAATCCAGACAAATTGGTTGATGTCGACCATTTCTGTGCCTCTATTGACGGTATAAGTTAGTTAGAAAGATACCTGAATTGTCGATGCATATTCAATAAAGAAATCAGAAACGGTAGTTGAAAATTTATTACTTTAAATTGACCTAGGAATTGAACACAATATGCAAAAACTGTACGTCTTTATATTTGCATTACTGCCGGTATTCTCCAACAATTGCCTGATTACTAGTTGTTTAATTAATCAAATTAATTTACGGTTAGATATGTAAATGCCCGCCATTTTCATACATTAGACGATAGTCTACACTCTATAGTATTTGAATTGGCGTAAAACATATGCGAAATACTCGTCGATAAACAAATATACGTGTTGGAATTGGAGCTTTAGCATTAATGGAAAGTGATAGTAAATCGAAATAGTTCGATAATATTATAATCAGAGGATCTTGCCTCCGGGCTTTGAGGTAATGATTATTTTAGTAGCATGAATTATTTGCAGTACTGTATACCGTATACTTTTTTAAAATTTTGTAACTACTGTATAATACAAGATCGATTGCAGCCTCATATCCCCTCTTTCATAGATGATAACTGCAACTAAGTTGTAATGAATAAAGCAACAATTATTTATTGTGAGACGCGATATTAACTGGAACCAGTTAGTTCCCAAAAATACAAATGAAAAGAAATTCTCGATGCATACGACTACTATTAAGCGTAGTTATATTGGCAAAGTACAACAATAAGCGTTTTATTGTCTCTATTGATTATACGTATTGTGTATATGGCATGATCATCTCACGATTTAATCTTGAATATAATGCCACTTAAGATAGGTGAGACAAGCTATCGTCGATGACACAAATTAGATCAATTATTTCTTGACAAGGACGACTGGTAGTCCATGTCTATGTCGATTTTTTTTGCTGCTGTCTTTTTTTTTATGCCGGTTTCTTAGAAACATTAAGCACACTTTAACAGGCTTCCAGACATTCTTTTACACTAATCTTTATACTGTACTGTACTGCATTCTGTGCTCACACTCTTCGTCTAATTCCTACCGGATCAATACTAATCATGATTTATAGAAAGCCCTTTCACTGTTTGAATTGATTAATCTTGAAATTATAGCATCGCTTCCCGCAACTGGTATCAATTTCGTCACTGTACTCCAATATAATGGTTCAATTTACTCAGCTGATAATTTTGGCTCATAACTCATGTGATTAAAACCGTCGAGTGCAGTAGCGTTAAAATAATCTGGTTTATGATTATTGACGATTTAAAAATGAAGTACAACGGCAGCTTAGTATGAGTTTATTATGATATCTTTGCTACAAACGGATTGCAGCATGATTAAATTTGGGATGCATTTAGTTGGCGTCTCTTCTACTAAGAACATACAAAGTTATCAACGCTGCAAATTCATTCTTTCTAATCCATAACTGATTATGGCGTTTTAACTATTTCCCGTAAAATCACGGACAAATAAACAAATTTACAGAGTCCATCTTTGAGAAATAAAATTTTCGTCATTAAAATAAACTGAGCTTGTTGATCGTTCATATGTGTGTTAATGTCGTAATCTAATGTTATTTTATAAACTGGCGTAGTTAGTAATTTGAAAATATAATTATAAATGTGTCAATTCATTTTAAGCAGGAAATGAAACTTTTACACAGTAAATGTTAAAATTGCAATAAATCGGAAATACACCAGTAGGAGGAAATCAGGTTTAATATCTTTGAATGGATTATCGTATATCAAGTTTGTAACGCGGCTGAAATACGTGAAATTGACACTCCTGAATTATATTTCGTATTCGATCGAATAAACTATCTGCAAATTTATATCATGTAATAAGGTGTTATCGAAGACGTAGAATTAGCAATTCCGCCTATGCTGTACGTCATACGAACGTAGCGTTGATTTGCTTACATTAAAAGTTTCAATTTCGCACGTATCGGAAAAATTAACAGTGATTAAATATAAATCTTATTTTCATTCATCAAATTTGCACAGACTGAGAAGGATCATGTAGATATCTACGGCTAGCTATTAGTATTCTGTGAAATATCTCATCTGTACAACGGACTACCTGAAGAAGATCGGACTTTTTCCAGCAGTACGGCTTCTCCCAGTAGTCCATGAGTGTACCAACTCTATTCTATTTTAATATGCTGTACTATACTGCGCTTAAACCATGGCTTGAACCACTATACTTTTTCTGCAGCTGGTTCAAGCATACTACTTTATACACTCGTATGCGGTCAATATGCCTATCCGGAATGATCCTTGCTACTATAACATTGACACCGAACTGTTTTTTTTCTGTTCCACATACTTCAGAAGCTACTCAACTTTTATTAATTAAGTTACGCCACGCGGATATATGCTAAATAAAGACAAAACGATTATTCATTTTTTTTCTTAGAATAGCAAGCACGCGAAGTATGTGCGTACTACAGAAAATCTTCAAAAACTTGATTTGAGTCTAAGCGAGAGCTAAGAACTGATTCTAAACGAATATAATAGCGATGTATAATACACCTAATAATTAATTGAAGTCAAGCACTATTTACTACTATTTCCTAAAATCAATCAGTCTTAACCGGCCTTAAACAAAATACTAAGGCTATGCTCTTTGAATACACTATTGCTATACTGTACTCTTCACGATTTCAAATCACTCCCTGTGTTGCTACACTGCACTCATATTTTTTTTACATGTTTTTATTGACTTTCATCTATTTTTACAATCTTTTACGCAATAATAACTCATGATATATGGTGATTTAATTAGTCACGAAATAATAGACTAAGGAATGTTGCGATATTACGATAAAATAACATACTGTTACATCATTAATAAAGAGTGATTAATTACAATTATAACATTAATTAGCTACAGTACAGAAAATGGATTAGATAGGCAGTCTTATGTCATAAAGTAATAAGAAAATGATTCTGAATCACTACTCGAAAACTGAGGCAAAATTTATGTATCAATCAAATAAAATGGCAATTTAAGATACTGACTGATCTCTATGCTACTACGAGTACGGTACTGTGATTTACTTACAATAATTGAAGAAATAGATAAATAAATCATAATGCAGATGCTAGATAATTAATTGCGCACTTTATAAATCTTATATAAATGTAATAAATAACAAAATGTATAGCATAATGTCACTGTATCTTCACTTTTTGTATTTGCCAATGTTATTCTATTTGAATAGATGGTTGCATTCATGGAAATCATTACACTGATAACTGTGCATGAGTAACAATATAAAACTACTTTTTATTAATCAATCATAATCCTATATACCTATCGAGAATAATCCTACTAATTATCTCGTTACTCCAAGACTAACCCTACAAAATTAAATCTTTACTATTTGAATTTGGAGGAAAATTTCTTGCAAAGGTGGCAGTGATTATGTATATCGTATATCAAATAGACACGAAAATCTGTGATTAATTTATCTACCCCGAGCAACTCTTAGACTACTGAAGAATTTTGGCAGCATTTGTCACTTTGCTAGCGTCGTCTAGCATGTTATACGCACTTGACTAATTTCTCTCGTGAAAGTTATCGATTCTAAAGTTTCACCTTATAGAATGTACTTTACTAATGTAAATTTAATGCTTTTACAGTTTATGGGCGCTATTTATTGCAAACAGATGCAACTACATTTTTAAGATTTGATCAATGAAAGAATAATTGATTACTTCATATATCAACAAAATTCAAACACTTTATGGGACTACATAACCGCTGGAGTAGCTAAAGAAGTGTTATTGCTGAGCTATATTACACTGCAGGAAAATTTTTAGAATCTATAAATAAAATAAATTACGTCGTATTAATTGATGGTATCGCCAATTTGTACGACTATTCGACGATTTTATTCATATATTTCGTAGCGACTAAGGGTAATGTTTGTATCCTATGTACCGTTTATTATTCCTTGTTATATATACAGATAATGATAATAAAATTCATCAAATTCGATATTGTTACTGAGTGCACATATGTTAGCCCACACCTTAGATTGAAAAGAGCACATTACAATACTAATCATGCAGAGTTCAAAATTCATGCATTCAAACTGAAAGAGCATAGAAGACGCTGAAATGATAGGATAATTAATAATAAAAATTTCAGTTAATTTCTTGCATAATTTTATATGACGAAATACTAATCTTCTATCATTATAAACTATGCTGTATCAAAGGTACGAAATACGTTGATAGAGGTCTTGATGATCATAATATAAACAGCTTGCAACAGCCAAGAAGGTTGATATTCAATTCATACAATTCCCCCACGACCGGGTAATTTCGTAACCATTAATGACAGACCTTCTAAATCGATAAATATCGTAGCATGAAACGCTATATTGGTCAAGATTAATACATATTCGCAAAAAGCGAAATAGCTATAAACTGATGATACTGTCAAGGCTATAACATGAACAATTTCATAAAATTGATGTCAGTCTAGCAAATTAGCTTCTTGTGCATTCTATTTGATATGAAGGATACTCATAGGTTCGCAATATTTGTTATGCCTTTCATATAGGTAGATAGAACACGCGAAGAAGAAGCCAAAATTCATTAATAAATATAGCTTACGTCTTGTTGATATGAACCACTACAGGAAAAGAAAGCGATCAAGAATTAATGTCGGAAGACTTTTCCTATACCTTCGATCACCAAACTTGAAATGAACGTATTAGACAATAATAGCTTTCGAGAACAGTCATTATTACGCGTATACCTTCGCTGGCAAAGTAACACTATCCCTAGGCCATCTAAAGATCAGGTACGTCATTATCATCCCCAATAATGAGCATGACAAGAAGGCTATGGTAGCATTCATATGGGCGGCTAAGTATTCGGATAAAGCAAGCAAAGCTCAATCGTATATACTTAGTAAATTTACTGCAATAGTATATGCTGTTATATATATGTTAAAGCATGTGATTGATACGATCCGTATGGAGGATATGAAAGAGCATTATACTAATTATAAAGTTTGCATCCACACACTCTACACTTAGATCAACTGTTTCATTTATAATATAATTAATTAAAGCAACTCTAGAAAATTCATAACAATTAAATAATGTCAACTTAAAGGTTTTACTTACGGTAGTATTCCGTTGATCCAATGCATGTTAATATCATTAAGGCTGTGATTTCAATTATTGTACAATACCAAGTGAGTTTTACAATAATTGCGTAAAAAATGGGATGATTTCTAGGTAAATAGGGTCGATATTTTGTAAAATAAGAATTGTATAAAAAAGTAAAAAAATATCTAGGCCAAGAATGTAAACCAATACAAAATCGCCAGATGTATTTTTGCGGCGGATAGTTGATACTTGCACTAACGGTGGGTAATATATTATATACCTACGAAATACAATCGAAAAAAATCGATATATCTGACTATTAATATCATCTTGATGGAAATGGAGGATAATATTGCGTACGTGTGTGCTTTGACTTTACCACTACTGCGTGCAAAAGGGAAAATGCTTATTCTGCTATCGAGGAGACATTTAGCCTAGCTGCGATATGGATGATCAGCAGTCTACTAACCGTTCTATTATACTTTGGACGACTACTCCCATATTTAAGTATTTTATCCTATCAAACTACGGTAGTAATTTGCAATTTACGAGCAATTTCTGTATTTAAACAACATCATCTACGCGTACACGTACTGTATAATAGATTACTTACGAGCATAAGCATCATCTAACAGGATACATACATTGCAATGTGTTGAAACGGCAGCGTCATAATTAAGGGCCATTGCCATCATTAAACAGACCACCAGGGATAAAACCGGCAACGACATTGTGGTCAACGCCACATAATGAAGTAAAATGTTATAAAATGGAATTGGATCATTCATTTCCACTACTGCAAGTTGAATCTCCTAGCTAAAGTAGTACAATAAAAATACGAGTAGATGCAGCATTGATCACATTGCAAGCGGCGCTTAACCTTTAAAGATAGCAGTTATCTCATGTCCCATAATTCGATGGATGAAAACTGTGGAAAAATTTGAAGACAGTGCAGTTAGAAGTAGCTTTCAGCCACGTTCTAATAATGAATATATCCCGGCAAAGATCTAATTTGTGCTGCAGGAGAAGGAAAATGTCGCTAAGGCTGAGCTGTGGTAAAGTTCGTAAGATTGAACTTTCGATCAACACTCTTGAGTGAGTGAGTGTACACTAGCGTCCTGTACAGTGTACAGTGTACAGTACAGTATACTTTGCAGTATATTGTACTGTACTCAGTCAGTACTGTTCAGTGTACAGTGCGCGGGGACTTTCGAACACCAACACGAACAAATGGCGGAAAGCACATTCAGGAGCTGAATTTGTTGCAGAAATACAGCGAAAAGATGGATAGGAACGATCGAAATGACTGTATGCAAAGATTAGCTTTTCTATGGAATTGCTCTCATGCTTCTCTCCGACACAGCACACAATTATCGGGATTCTATATGTAAGTAAAATGATAGCCATGCTATCGTTGAAAGAACTGGAACCGTCCACACACCTGATCAGTGAAACGTTGCAATATACGTAAACTGAGTAGGTGTTTGCCGGCCTAGGCGTACAGTAGAGTAGATGAAGATAGATGTCAGAATGGAAAAATGATCAAGTTATAATGATACTATCATAATGGTCTTTAATTCTGTCATTATTGTCAATTTTTTAGCTATCGTATAAAGCAACTTGCCTCACAGTTTGGAATAGGTAAGTCTCTACTTCTGCAGATGTGGTGCCAATGTACATGGTACAGTAGCTGAATCATTTTGAAAGTCCTTGGTACTATACAAACTATAGCGTTACTACTGTACAGTATATTGGTAGAAAATTGCTGAAGGCTACCTTATAGTGGCGCTGTAATATTACTAAGATTCTAGATTAACTTTAGTACTGATATATGCAACAATTTTATACTACTGTACTCGTATATACACGTATATTCGTGTTATAATGGCAACGAATGAAGACTTGACACCTGATATGGAAAGCATGTTATGCCCCTGCTGCCATTGCATGTATATACCCGCAACTGGAAACTTGCGTATCATCTCAAAGAAAAAAATGAAAAAATTACAACAGAAGAAAGCAAACAAATTATCAATATGCAACAGCATTACAACTGATGAAAAAACAAAAAATTACGTGTATATCGTAAGGATGATTGAATTGATATTACTGTATGATCATCGATTGAGATAAAAATAAATAAGTATTAGCTAGCGTAGCTCTTACATAGACTATGACTTTTACGTATTATAGAAAGTCAAATGTACAACTTGCAATAATATTTCCTACCGTCAGCATTATATCAACAGCAGTACTCGTAGCCTTAGCCAAAACCAAGGTTTGTATGGATAGCATTGCTGCTACTGCAGATATACGTAATGAAATAAAACTGTATTTGACTACCCATTATTGAAATAGTTGGGTCTACTGCCTGTGTACCTGTATACGAGTATAAGAAATAATTGCAAAAAGATTTTAATAGAGAACATCAGAATTATTGTAACCCCTTGCTGTAACGTTACTTTTACAAAGATACCTTCATGAAAATCTATCACAAACTGGCTTGTATTAGATTATGTTCATTTATCATTTAATTCTCAAAACTATTCAATATTCCTCCATTAGATTATTCAAGTTCTGCCAACGAACTGAAAACTCCAACTTCAAGTCATAATAGAAATTCATCTATAGCTGTCTCTAGGTCAGCATACCCATTCACGATTTTGTGTTAGTGAATGTGATGTACTAATCAGATAGTATACGTATTTTAAGCCATGACAATCATTCATTAAATATTGCATTATCTAATATAAGTGTAAGTTGCAATAGTAAATATAAACAACTGCAGTTCTACAGGTATGGATATTTAGTTGTAAATTAGGAATAATAAAAATAGCTATGAACAATTCCCTTATACACGGCATTTTTGAGATATATCGGAATTATATCTTTATGTATTGATGCTTTTATTGATCAAAATTTCATCTTATACATACTTATGCTCAATATGTCTTTGAATTTATGTCGTTATAGCATTTCAAAAAGTGCAAAGAAGCGATCTATGATCCGTCATTCATTACTGACATCGATGTTAAAAGCTTCAGCTGCAAGTACTCCGCAGTCCTCACCAAGTCTAAAAGACTTTTTAATGTCAACATAAGGAATTATGATTTGAATGTTTTATATCATTGCTACATTTATATAAGAGATGGTGTCATTTTTATGAAATAATTTAAACCAAGTAAGCTCAATCATGAATTTAAAAATATTGCAAAATTTACCGATTTTTAAGCAATTTGGATCCATATATCCTTCACAAACCGGTAAAATGAAGTAGCAAATGGCTGCTGAATAAACTGTTAATACAACATAAAAGATTAACCTACTCATTTTGAAATTATGCACAAATTAAAAGAATTGAGCAACTGCAGACGAATGCATAGGGAATATGCTCTTTAGCTTTCAATCAAGTTAGATAACGAGATGCCCTATCTTTAATAATAATACCACAGTCTTTCTGTCTTATTATAAAACGATAGTTCATTATAGACAATTACAAACTACAAAATCCTGTGTAGGAAATAGGCACGATAATGATCATTAAGAATAATCACTATGAGCAGAAGTCACTTCTCCATTCTAGCAATCACAAGCTATTTCTTGTCCATTAAATAGGAATTCTTAAACGCAACTAAAATAGAGATGCACGTATTGCATACGCGTAGACATATAAATACTTTTTCACAACGTAGTAATTCAAAACATGGTGCAAAAGCGCTGTAGCAGATGAAATAATCAAATACAGTTGCTATAATTCTAAACTGTATCCCATAAGAAGCGTTACTCCATGCTGTTTATTGCACTGTATCTTACTCTGCATAAAGATCTAGGCAAATATTCTTAACATGTAGAGTCTACTGTAGATCTCACTATTAAAGATTGGCTACTCTGATGCTAATATAACAAGTAGTATTGCTTCAAATTGATTTTCATTGGCATCTTTTACTTTATCATCATCTGATGATAAACCATCAGATAGTCAATGTCATTCATTGACTTTAGTATTCGTAGTTATTGTTAGGGAAATTTTCGCTTCCCAGAGCAGAGCATAACCCATATAAGCATATAAAGTTAAACATCAAAATCATTTCAGGAAAATATTTAATTTTTCATCACAGGATATCTAAAGTAATCAAATCCATCAAATTTGGGTTTATAGTACGATAAACAGTAAACCAAGAATCGATCGAAATTTCTAGGGATCCATCAGCAATAACGCAAATCGATGAGATGAACTGCAACCGGCTGATTGCAGTTCATCATGTGTAAAAATGTAAATACCTGCATATTTTTGATAGGAACGGGATAATGTTAGCTCAACGCTTCATTAGAACTGACCTTAGATGATATCGTATCCTCTATATTGTGCTCGTAATCTTATACTAGTAGAATCATTTGTTAATTTATATAATAAATTTTTAGCTCTATATAGCTTGTGCGTTATTTGTACCAATTATAATCACATTTAATTAATAATACCATAGCGCTGACTACCGCATAGCTGGTGCATAGTTGCATTTGGCAGTCTCCGTCTCTAACTATTTCGTACAGTATAAAAAATTAAGTCATCTGGGGTCAATTTAGGGCTTCTATAGGGGAATTTCTCTCCTGCAAGTCCATTCTTAACCTTGGCTATTTTTCATTTAGTCTGCTATCCTTCAATAAAGGCTGAAGTCTACATGTACTGTTGGTATGTTCACTAATAAGTAATAATACGTGTCTATCGATAGCATATTCGAAAAGAGGCCAGAGTGAATAGAGCTAATAACAGAGCAAACCGTTTGCTGAATCGAACTATCCACAGCTACCGCTTTGTTTTTATGTATTGTATTATTGCAATGATATACACTTGATTAAAAAGTCGAGCATTTCATGAAGGAAAGTCGATGATATGTATCATTAATTATCGATTCATTAGCCGTCATAGGTATATCAGTTGAGATGTACGTGTATGCATATATACATTGCCGGTAATACATACATCTATCCCAAGTAAAATTTTTTTTAATTGTGCATATATCATATATCCTGCCTAGAGTTGATAAAATAAGTCTCGTATTCTAACTAAAGTTTCATGTTCCCAGGAAAAAGTTCTCAATGATAAGTTTATATTGAAATATGTATATGCACGCGTGCCTTATAAGATCATTTTGTGGTAGACTTGAGCCGTTGGCGATGCGCAGTGTGTTCAATTCTGAGTATGATTTGACTACTTTCGGTATAACTAGTGCAAACTCCCGTCGCTTTGCTGACGGTTTACGATAATGTGCTCATTTAACAGATAATATTACCATTTGATAAACCTATCAGAGTCATATTTTGACTCCTGCAATTTTAATAGGCTTTTATGGTATTTTGGCACCGTTCATACTATGAGAGCATAAATTGACGCTACGCGATTTTTAATACATAAATACGCATAGGGATATCAGAGGTACTGCTTCGCATTCATTCAATTAATTATAACATAATTTGTAACGGAAAGTCAATGAATAATTGGTTATCCAAAGTCAAGTACAGTAGTCACTTTTCTACCTACTGTTGCCACAGAAAAGATATCAGCAACAGTAACAGCTGTATCGAATGGCACATTACCCACTGTTTTGCTGCAATCTTAACTGCAAGTCCATCTATAAAAGTGTAGGAATTGGATACTACTGTTGATCCCATGGCTCTAAACAGTAGGAGTCGGATATTACTGTTGATCCTATTGCTCTATTCGCAAGAGCCTAATTATACAGACTTGTTCATCTAACGAGCATATTCACTTTCGATGGCATCAAGCATTCGTTCTGTAGATCAAGGATGGTTTTCGACATGTTCTCACAACTATAACAGATCAAGTAACGCGGGTAATGCCATTTACTATGGCATTGTAGACTCAGGCTAACGTTATACAGCCGCAGGCAATAAAATCACTCAAATCACTTCATTACGATCAAATTAAGTTAAGATAATAGGTTGGAGACAATTCGCCAATATTGAAACAATACCGACCAAAAAGACAATACTGCCCTAAAAAAGCTGAATAGACAATCTACAATTGGATAACATCCTTCAATAGCTCCCTTGAAAATACGGACAATGATATCATTATTTCCTTTGTTTATTATGATATGGATAGATTAACTGGAAGTCGATCATTCTCAGTAGTAATCAGTCAAATAGAAACTAACATGTACAAATAGTCAAACATTATTTATGCTGTGGAAAACAATAATTTTCGATAGTAGTAGACGATGTCCTTACCCTGATACAATCCTACAACACACTTGAATCAAAAGAAGATTATTGTATGGTCTAATCGTCCAAGTATTGAAAGCAACGTATCAACACTATCGCGTATTATTATTATTATTATTGCCCTACGGCCAAGTGTCTTACCGGCTTACAACACTGTTGTTATTGGCCAATCCGCTTTCGTGCATTGTCCATCGAAAAAGTCAAGAATTATCTGCTGGTAGTACTGTATATAATTATTTATTTTGACTGTTGAAGTTAATCCGTTTTTTCCTTTTGGCTTTTGTTGCATTTTCGCATTGCTTAAAACCGATTGCATTTCACCATGTCGGATGATGATGTTGCAGCTTTAGTAGTCGATAATGGCTCCGGTATGTGTAAAGCCGGATTTGCTGGCGATGATGCTCCTCGAGCTGTTTTCCCATCGATCGTCGGTCGACCTCGCCATCAAGGTGTGATGGTTGGAATGGGCCAAAAGGATTCATATGTTGGTGACGAAGCACAAAGTAAAAGGGGTATCCTTACCTTGAAATATCCTATCGAGCACGGAATTGTTACTAACTGGGATGATATGGAAAAGGTATTAAACGACTACAGTACTGTTTAGTTGATCTAGTTAGTACTTTTGATAATGGATTGATTTGCCCAGTTGTTGAGTACCGTTGAAAGTTTTTACCAGTACAGTACTGTAGATGAAAAACGAAGAAAGAAAAACTGAAAAGATTCAACTCTACCCTATTGAACTTTTTTTCTCTACCTAGATCTGGCATCACACTTTCTACAACGAATTGCGTGTAGCTCCAGAAGAACATCCCGTCTTACTAACTGAAGCTCCCTTGAATCCCAAAGCTAACCGTGAAAAAATGACTCAAATCATGTTCGAAACATTTAACTCGCCTGCTATGTATGTCAACATCCAAGCTGTACTATCCTTGTATGCGTCTGGTCGTACTACAGGTATCGTTCTTGATTCCGGCGATGGTGTAAGCCACACTGTTCCAATCTATGAAGGTTACGCTTTGCCTCATGCAATGATTCGTTTGGATTTGGCTGGTCGTGATCTAACGGATTACCTAATGAAAATCTTAACTGAACGTGGCTATACTTTCACTACTACCGCTGAACGTGAAATCGTTCGTGATATCAAGGAAAAATTAGCCTATGTTGCTTTAGACTTTGAGCAAGAAATGCAAACTGCTGCTTCTAGTTCAAGTCTTGAAAAGAGCTACGAATTACCTGACGGTCAAGTTATCACTATTGGTAATGAACGATTCCGTTGCCCTGAAACGCTCTTCCAACCCGCTTTCATTGGCATGGAATCCGCTGGTATCCACGAAACTACCTACAATTCGATCATGAAGTGCGATGTCGATATTCGTAAAGATTTGTACAGTAATATTGTCTTGTCTGGCGGTACTACTATGTTCCCTGGTATTGCTGACCGTATGCAAAAGGAGATTGGAGCCTTGGCACCTCCAACTATGAAAATTAAGATCGTTGCTCCACCAGAAAGGAAATACTCTGTATGGATCGGAGGATCTATTTTGGCTAGTTTATCCACCTTCCAACAGATGTGGATCTCCAAACAAGAATACGATGAATCTGGCCCGTCGATCGTTCATCGTAAATGTTTCTAAAGTTGTGGCTATCGTTTATTTTATATTATTTGTCAGCCTATAGCTACTAACAGCAACGCACAGTGAGATGTGTGAGATCATCTACTTGTACTTCTAATAACTATGATTAATAAAACTAATTTAAATCCAGACATTTGGGACGACAGTTTTGTTTTGCGTCACTATTAACCTGATCGTATGAGTAGAAGAAAGTTTGTTGCGGCAGGTTGCCCTTCGATAGATAATAACATCCAAAACGGCTAATAATATTCTGGCGAAATTGAAACTAGAAAATTAATACAGTCAATGCAATATTATTATAAGCGAGTGCCGTTTATATGAATACCGATGGCATTAAACATACGAGATATTATAATCTGATTTAAAAAATTCAACGGTTAAGTCTATTCAATGGCCGCTAATTTCCTTTCCAGTACGATAATCTACCGTAATTAAATTGCAAGTAAAACACAGAAAGGAAGTATTAAAGTGAATTCGGGAGCCTTCCTTTATGTTAGAGGTAGGCTAGTCACTCACTGGAAAGATTATATTCAAATACGTGCGGTGTAGTTAGCCAGGGCAGGCATCGCTTACTTTAAATTAAAAGTGAAATAAGCCGTAGCCCGTAGACTAAAAAAATAATTACTGTAAACAATTTTCATTTTTATTTTAGTGCCGTTTGAATACAGTTCTGTTGAGTATAAGAGTACCTGTGTACTATACGTCTACTGTAGTCTAAGCACAGTACTGTTCTGTAAGTGGAAACAAAATGGCCGTTTAATGCATTGTTCGTTATCAGTAGCTCATGCTGTGATAAAATTTCAAATTCAACACTCAACACTAAAATACGAAATCAATTTGACCGTATTCCAGCATTACGAAGATTTCGTGTTTTGAGAGAAGCCGGCAAAATAATCACTGCGATTAGTTTTATTACTAATTATAAGAAGGGTCAATGAAAAACATCCTTGCTTCACGCGACTTAGTACCACTTAACATATTACGAGTAAAATCGTCTAAGCAATCGTATCATTGTCTACGTGAAATAGAATATTGGAGTGGATATCATCGTCATCGTCATTACTCTTCATTAGTTTCCCATGTCGTAATTAATGATCAATGCGAAAATTTGGTCCATGGAACGCCATCGATCGCATTATCTTTATTGATTGATTTTTACCTCAAATGCTGTGACTGCACTGTAATTATCTGCAGAATAATTAGGATCAATTTTACTTTGACGTACTTTGTACAGTATTCTACTTTGTCAATATAAAATAATAATATTACTTAATGGCGGTCCGTCGGCTGCGTACAAAAGCAAGATGTGCGCGTAAAGTACAGTATAGCCATTAATCGAAAAAGACGGTAGCGTGACTATTTCTTGGATATGGTTATTTGCTGTCTAGGCTATTATTAACGTTGAGCTCTGCTTTAGAAATCAATGTTAGCGATGATCCGTTAATTAAGTAATATTTCCTAAAGCTGTAGTGTATGCGTGTACGTATACGCGCATACACTACATTAAAATAGGCGAAGTGTATAAATAAATAATAATATGGTGACTCTAGTGTGTAAAGCAATATAGATAAAAACAAATCTACGGAATATCATCACCTAGAGTAGATATGCTATCGAATCTCCTCGATCGATCTATAAAAGTCAATTTTATGCACTCGTATACAAAATTAGGGTTGATCGCACGTATGGTAGTTTAAAATCTTCGATAATAACTATAATGAACTCGCGTTACAGCTATATAATATCTAATTTTGCCTTTTCACTAATGCGGTACAAGATGTACGTAAAGCCGCAATTTGCAAACTTTTAGTTACGTTACTAACTCGATCATTGACAATAAATTCAATGGTGTTATAGCTAATTCCTTTAACGAGTATATTTTGATTTGATGTTATGATAGTTACTGACTGTGGATAATATCATTATTAGCTTAATTAAACAAGCAGTTGTTTATAATTAGAAAATATGAGAATTACATTAATTTACGAAACAGCTTCAATTTGTGGCTTGAATGTGCCCGTGAGATGTCGATGAACCCAATTTGTTTAAGTTGATTGACTTCATTTTTCAAAGGAAGACTACATAAATTTGTTTTGTTCGTACATGATATTCTCGAAAACACATACAGTAGTTCAAACGCTTTAAATATTGCTGAAATAAATTAATTTCGTTTATTACTTATTATATTTTATTTCATAAGTAAATGTTTCTTTGATCATCAAAAATGGAAGAGATTGCAAGTATCCACAATCTCAAAGAATCGCACAACATCTTTTTCAACCAATGGTTCATAGTACGCCCAATTCTGCCTTAATATTGTACTTTGTATACGGGCGGTATTTTAACAGGTATAATCATAAGCCAATATCACGTTGATAGTGAGCGATTTTTCTATTTATTTCAGAAGTGAACGGTATACATTTTAAGCTGAATTATGAATACGAACATACGCAAGTTGAATAAGATGAGAACAATATGGTTAGATTTTCTATTGACGATAATGAGTGATATTAAAAAGAAAGTTTGATTTTATGCCTTAAGACAAGTAAGAAATAGACTATATGACATAATAAATAGTATACAGGATATTGTATACGTACTCATATTTCTTAAAATCAGTCACTGTCTATCACTTTTTCTTAAAATCCACCAGATATTAAATTTGTTACACTGTGCTGTAGATTTACAAGACGTATTAAAGTAATTGAGAATGAACTTGATCAAATCCGGTATTTCAGTACCACGGATAATTTGTATAATGGAATATCTATTGAAATAATCAAGAGAGATATAAGGAAATATTAATGATTTATGAAATTAATGCCACGATATTCTTCAATACAGTATACCTTTTCAAGATTTTACGCGTAAGTAAGGTACTGTTATGCTATAATTTTGTCATTTTATTAACTGGTTCTTAAGTACAAAGTGATCAATAGTTTTATAAGCTGCTGTAGAATATTGTAAATTAGGTTGTGATTGTCATATATCTGAATCTTAGACTTAGTTAATGTTAGTACACGAAAATACACAACAGTGATGTGATTCCAGAAAATATAATATAACTAATTTATAAGATTTACAATGTGCAAAATTATCGCTTACAGTCGTTGGTGTTATACCGTATGATAATCTGGTATTTCACTATTAGAAATAGCTGTAATACTTACTACGATAGTGCGGAATTTCATATCATCATAAGATAAAATTAGTCAAACTAATTTAAGGATTATTTGTGTTGTAGTAATATCACAATAAAGACTTGACATTGGATATGGAAAGGATGCAATATCCTTGCTGTCGTAGCATGTATACGAGTACAGTATATACTCATAAGTGGGACTTCCTTATCACCTCAAAACTGAGAATGCAAGATTTACAACGGAAAATGATAATTTTATTTAATAATCCAATAGTATGTCAAATGATGGACCAAAAGGAGAAATTGTCTCTAAATCGTAAGGATTAAATCGATATAAAGATATCATCACAAATTGGATAGGAATATTGAAATAAAGTTAGGTTTTAGCTAGCATAATTTTTGGGTGTACTGTACTATAATATTTCACTGTAGAAAGTTACATGAGCAACTTGCAGTAATCCTACATTCTCAGCAGTATTACGACATCAACGAATAAGCATTAATTATAGTTTTTCTTGTTAGATTCTCGTTAAATTGTATTGTATGTACAGGGGAGTTTGCTTCCTTAGCTCTTAATAATGATGAATGTTACACATTGTGATAATGATCCACAAATTGCTAAAAATTTTTCAGTAAATATAGCCATACGTAGATGCTAAAACTTAACGATATTCCCAGAAATAGTAAAACCGCTACAAATACCTTCTTCTGATACATTACTTAGGTGCATCCTTACGCGTCTAAAACTTATAACGCACAAATTTCATCAAATGCACATTTTTACTCAGGTTATGAACTGTTTCTTGTTATAGCATTTCCACGTGTTTCAACTGCGTGTGCCCTACCTTGTAATCATCGCCAAGTCTAAAATTGTTTAAGAATTGGCCTTAATATACAACATGATTTTCGATGTTTTTATTTCCCATTAAGATAATTTTAGCAAGTAATAGATTAACAGTACCTTCATTACAATCAAAGATTTTTTTATCATGTTGATTAATGTAAAGAGCTTGACTTATCACGATTTATGTGACATCGATGAAAATATTTACACAGTATAAGTAATTAAGCGACTCTTTTTACAATAATACATAATTTAGAAAACTGTTGCACTTCAATTCAGAGACGACTGCAAAAGAAACATGCATTTCAATAAAGTTAGTCAACAAGATAATGAATTGTTAATGATATTATTATAATGCCTAATCACAGACGATACTGAATTTGCAGACAATTATGGATTAGGAAATCCTGCGAACTAATTGGCTACCGACTACGATAGTCAAAAGAATCAGAAGCAGATATCACTTTCCGTTTTAGTAATCAAAAACCGAACCTTATCCATTGGAATAGAATTCATAATAACTACAAAATAGGATAGTACTTCACAATATAGCCCTTCAAACTATTATGATAGAAATATGGTAGTAGTTGATATAATCATCCACAGCACCTACAACTCTATGCGGTATCGCTTCAAGGAGAGTTCTTTCCATGCTATCTATCATAGTTTATATCGCATAAAACTCTTTAGGCAAACAATTTGAGACTGCAATACTGGGTATGCTGTAGAATGTGATATCGAAGCGTGAAAACCGGCTTCTATGATTCCAAGAAAAGGTGGTATTACTGTACTTGAAAATGTTTTTTCTTGGCATTTTGTTTATTTGTCATCATCCAGTGGTGCATTATCAGATCGTAGATGCAGTTCTTTGACTTTAGCATTCGTACCTTTTGTTATGGGAAATTTCCGTTTCCAAAAACAATATGTATTACAAATATACGAAGTTGAAATATCGAAACTAGTTTAAGATAATGTTAGATTCTATTAAAGGATATTTAAAGTAGTCAAAATCGGCACCAACAGCGGACGACATCAACGCAGCTATGTTATGGTCGGCTTTATTAAATATATATCCGTTGGCTTTATCAATAATTTTAACAACATTGGCAACGCTTTCTTTATCCTGTATATAAAATGAAACGATATCGTTAAAATGGTGAATTTATTGTGGATAATAAACGAGTAGTGCACTACAGTATATCACACAGTCTTACAGCAAAAATTTACGTGTGAGAGTTGATTTTAGCACCTGAATATTCAAAGTAGCAAACCAGACTAGACTATAATTTTCGATCAGCCCAGCCAGAGCTGCACTGAGTTTGCGATATTTTTTACTGAATGCGTCTTCATTCATTCGTTCCAATAAATAGTCCAAGTTTAAGACTTCGGTATAAAAATCTAAACCGAAAGCTAGAATACCAAAATTAAGTGTATTTCTTAGTGTAGTCTTAGCATGCGTAGTAAGCATGCAGGTACACAGTAGAAGGTATATAATGTTCTATGCATACGTTACAGTAGTAGTAACACTTGCATTTGAAAAATTAGGTATAATTGTGGGCAAATGATTGTACAGTATAATTACCTAGTTTGCCATAGCTTTCAATAAGATCAATTTTGGATAAAATATTTACGTGAGGCAATTCAATTTGCAGCATGGTAGACAAGGATGTTAAGAGAATTGATAAAAATTTGGATGGATCTGTACAATAATGTGAATCGACGAGATGGACTGCAACCAGCTGATTGAGTCATTGCATACGTATAAAAAAATTGAAGAAGCATCAAGAAGAATGATATAATTATAAAATTGTTCAGAGAAGAAAATAAACACTCGCATGCTCCATTTTGCAGTAGACGCACCTTAAAATCTAACTGCTGTAGTCGTTCTACAATAGATCTGACCGCTTTATGGTGAGTGTACAATTCTACTTGACCAGGGCAATCAAATAAGAAATAGCAATCGCTGAATTTACTCAACTGATCTTCCAGCCAGTCTATATTTTTCTCTAAATATTCCATACAATAAATTAAACCACCATTGGGACCTAACTTGAGCAACTTCATTGTGTCTTCGACAGTCACTAAGGAAGAAATATTAATATCACATTGATAAGGGAGCGAGTCATTTGCTGGATCTAAATTGACCACCGTGACTTTACGTTTACAAGCTGTTGATAGAAATTGTTGCATGCCATGGCAATATGTAGTTTTGCCTGAACCAGGAGGTCCAATCACTAATTGACCGTAAGGCATTACTGGGATTTGAAGTGGATGCTTTCAGCGATGAATTGCAATGCAATGAATAATGTTGGATTTATCGAGCGCGTATTCAATGAATTCGATGGCCAATTCCCTGCAATTCAACAACATAGAAACTTTATAGTTATTATTCTTGTTCGATTGATTACGGAAAGCAAATTGCTTGATAGGAGATTTATTGAGCTACTGCAGCCATTATGGAGCCTTTGAGGTGCTTTTTGTAACAGCAAGCCTCTACTGTCGCTTGACACTCGGTAAAGTATACTGTACTGTATAGCCTAGCCTAGCCTAGCCTGGCTTGGCCTGGGCTCCATAGCAACTAGGCAAAAGGAGCTGTTTTCCAGTAGTTCTGAGCTTACAGTATCTAGTACTGTACCTACCGCGTTGTACGGTACACTGTACACTGTACTGGAGTCAGCCTTGGCATCATCCCATGGTCCGTCCTCGTCTTTCAATTTTACGTCTGTACATGGCATGGTATAGGATGGAAGAGTCTAATTGATACGATTTTCGTGAAAACAAATGTATCAAAATTGGACGCTTCTTCAATCAATGTTATACCCAACGAAAGGAGAAGGAGTGGATTTACAGGTACTAGTAGCAATAACTTGTGATGGGCAGCTTGATTCATTTAGTAATTTGGCGCCAAAAAAATTGATTTGTACTGTACTGTACTGTACTGTACAGTATTGTAGATCCAAGCTTTTGCTGGAAGCGTTGTAATTCGATCGTAATGCCTGGTAATACTATAGTAGTGTATGCAGCAGGGCTCGGGCTTGAAACACTATATTGCACTATGTTTTCCGTACATACTGTACAGTACAGTACTGTAGCTCACGAAACTTTTGTACTGTACACTGAGTGTACACACGGTACACTGTAAAGTGTACAGTACTGTACAGTATAAAGATCTTCGATCTTCCAGTACAGTACATTGTACTGTAAGTGAGTAACAGTCTCTCCCCTCTCACTCTGCGAGTGACAAGCGAGATGACTGACGCATACAGTACGCCGAATCAGTAGCGACTTTAAGCGGTGCAGAATTCCAATCTCAAATCAATTTCAGGAAGGATGGATTGGATCGGATCATATCTCTATGTCTAATCCTTTCTTAGAACCAGCAAAAATGATCCAAATTCAACCTTGATTACGCTTAATCCAGCTAACTCCATTCCATGATTGAATGGTAAGTCGATACAATGTGATTTTTGCGATAATACCCGCTGTTGTCTTGGAGAAATTGTTCAATGTGATGCTGTTACTTGCAGTAGAACTCTATTGGAAAGCCAACTTAATCCATAAGCATATTCGAATAACATACATGATCGACTTTGTTCAAGAAAGACTGGATTGCCAGTAATACTATGCGATCAATCGCTCAACTGGTAATCGATTGACATCAAAATAGTGTCAAAGTAAAAGAACATTTTCCATCTTAAGATTTAGAGAAATAATCTTACTGAATCAGCAAATGGATACCAGTAGCTATAAAGTTCATCATCATCCAATTTGTCGTATTGCATGATAATACAGTTGCTGTTACTGTATGTATACAGTATGATATTATTATTATTTTTTACGGATCCATTAGAGTATCTTGGCAAATTTATACATGCATACTGAGTAGATAGGGCACCAACAATGAGATCAAATTGTTCAACGTAACTACAGTAAACGATTTACTATGCTATTTTGCTATCATTTCCATGGATAGTGTTTATTGTACGCATGAACTCCATTATCGGTTATCGATGGCCACTGTTAGTAGAATCGTATCGATTACATACAGTAGTTAAACTTACCTACAACATTGCAAATATAGAATAATTTCAATCATGATCCTCCTCGCTACTTAGGATTATTGTGCCCACACTTTATCATGGTGAATGTTGATATTGAAGCACTATTCATATACCATATAAAACAGAATATGCCAGCTGAGAAGGTCAATGTAAACAAATATACTCAGAGTATCACAACCAGTGCCTTCCAAAATAGTATCAGTATTTGCTCTGCAACGATAGTATCAGTCATGGTAGCAGTACAGTACTTTAATTCAGTCAGGATAGCATCAAGGTAAGGATGGATTTTTAACTCATGGTTACTTACTGCATTACTAAAACTAGCATAGATTTGGTAGTCGTACAAAAAAATCTCCTCCCCCCCCCTCAAATTTCATTGCCTTTCCCTATCATAAGAAAAATTAGACTACAATTAAGCTTTGTACCTTTATAAAAAGTTGTCTTCGACATAACTTTATTCTACTTTCTCAATACATTCGTAAAATTGCTTTTAATCTAATTATACCATACTTTGATTCAAATTCTTCGTAAGGAATGATTGAATGATTTTACGGTCATGCTGACTAACAAGTCCAATATTGTTTATTCAATCATTTAGGATAAGGTTATGATGAATTGATTATACAGCAATTGTGTCTACTTGATAATACACGTAAAGTTTATAACCAACCAAGAAATAGAATACCAAATCACTTTGCAAGATGGCTCTTAGTGATGAAGAGTTCAATCGCGATTTGCAAGATATCCTGGGTGGAGATGCATCGTCTGATTCTTCTGCTGGCCTTCACTTTGGCACCAGTCAGAAAAACAAAACTGATAAAGGGAAACGAAAAAATAAGAAAGCTAATGTATCATTGCCATCGTGGTATTCCGGTGGTACTGCTATGGATGAGACAGACGATACTACTTCAGATAATGACAATGCTGACGATTGGTTTACCACTGAGCCAAGCAAAAATATGCAAAGTCTTACCTCGAAACAAGCAGTTACTAGAGTTGATGATTCCAACACGGATTTACTAGTTGATGATCACGCTACTACAGATCCTTTACATGATAGTAAAAATCAGCCAACGGTTACTGTAGATGATAGTAGAATATCGATAAATCGCAATAACAAAGAACTAGGTGGCTCTGCCGGCGATCAAGATACCTTGAAGGAAATGGAAGAAAAGAAAGAATTGTTTAATCGTTTACAAAAAAATTATGGTGATAATGTACCCTATGCTAACTTATGTGATCAATTGGAAAATTCTGATAATATGACTTCTATATCAAGTAAGAATAAATCAGCAACAGTAGATGCTAATAGTGATGAAAATAAAGATGTTACCGATTGGACTGTTAATGATCAACTTCAAGACCCTACTACCAATTCTGAACCGTTGCAATCACAATCGAATAATGCTACATTGGAAAAGAATAACAACCATCCCATTAAACCGTCAATGTTGTCAAAAGTATCCTTAGCTGATACCCTTGATTCTACATTGCAACAAACCATTAAGGACGATAATGATATTTTTGAAGACAGCATTAAACTTGGCACGGTCAACAGTGCAATCAATACCAAATCTGGCGCTACTAGTGATCTCGATGCTATCAAAAAATTAATTGAAAATGCCGGATTAACTGGTGATGACGAAACTTTAAGCACCACCAATTTTATCGACAATAATACTGATAATAATAACAAAAATGCTGAAAATGTTGCACCGCTATTACCAGAACAGCCTAAAAATGATACAGATATTCATTCAGGAGAAACACTTCCAGTTTTCAACCATCCAACTACAAATGATGCCGTAACAATCTTTGACAAATCAAGGCAGGAAAGCGAGAACTTAGTTCGTAATAATGACGACAACGAGACAAATGACGAAATTGCAGATGGCCAGTCCAAATTGAGTTTACCAACTAAGGGCTTACAAAATGTTTCTCATAAACAAGAACAATCAACGCCTGATCAAGTAGCAGAACCGAGAGGTTTTGATTTACAACTGGTAGCAACAGAATCAGAAGATGAAAGAATACCCATAAAGAGCCAGGTTGATAATGTCAATGAACAACGAGGTTTTGATCTTCAAGCTATTGAAACTGATTCAGATAGTAACATTAGCGTTACGAAGTCGGCAAGCATGGAGAAAAAGCTAAGAGCCGCTAGAGAAAAGTTTAAAAATTCAAGTGATCAATACAAGCCTAAATCTAGTAGTTATTCTCCTGCCGCAAATACCCCTGTATCGTCAACCAAAAACTTTATAGAAAGAAATAAAATCATTGCGAAAAAGCGTGATCCTCGCACTCAGCACGGAAATACGCCTCGTAAGGAGCCACATTCTACTCCGGTTAAAAAAACTCCTAATAGGTACATTTACATGTATACGCCTATATCTTATTTCGTTTAAAATTATACTAAAATTTTTTACAAAATGGGTTTACTTTATTTCAAGAGCTGACTTACTAATTTAGTCACTATATATTCATATTCAATAGAAATGCGCCAAAAGGTAGTAGTAACATACCTGTTAGTATACAAAATCGGGATGCTCAATTAATAGCAGCGTCTGTAGAGTCTTTTGCCAATTATATTCAGGATGTAGTTGGGAAAACAACCAAAATTTCAGCCTCTCCTCAGGTATTTATAAACTTTACTGCCCTTCATTCTGATAATATGTAGAGTATATTCTTCAGAATTTTAGATATTTATTTCTTTTTTTATGCAACTAAACAAGATGGAATCAAGCAAAAATGATGAAAGTACAAAATGGAAAGATGCTTGGATGGAAGAAAAGAATAAAGTAGAAAAATTGATAGAAGATTTCAAAGTCAGGGAAAGCTCATTGGCACAGCAACAGCGAGAACTTGAACTTACGATGGAAAAAAAGATGCATGATGTAAAACAGGACAACTTCATATTACTTGCAAAGGTTTGAATTACGATAACATAAGATGTGGTTATGAATTCTATCAAATGTTTGTCTTGACTATTTGGCTTATTGTTGTTGACACTTATCATCGAAGATTCGAGAATATGAGGAGCAATTAAATGCCAGAAAACGAGTTATAGGAGGTGGTGGTCTCGAAGGATCTACGAACAATGAACTGAAAACTTTAGAAAAGGACATTAAGGACCAAGAATCATTATTAAAGGGTTATCAAACTGTAAGTTATCACCGAAGGAAAAGGCATTCC